ATAAGATTGTAAAGAAGATTGGAGGCAATGGAACTAATTGCTAAACTCTTACTCCTCATTGAGTTCCTTGAGACTCTTCAGATATTCGGCAAAGTATTCCCTGTTGCATCGGCAAACTCCCTCAAAAGCTTCAATGACCTTCTCTTGTCGCACAGCATGCTGTTTGTCCTTATCCACTGGCACGTTCATATACATGCCCAACCATCGCAACCACCTCCTAGGATTTCATGTGGAGACTGCAACATGTAGACATGAACCAGCCCCGCAAAAACATTTGCAGCGTTCGATCCCACGAGTACAATCGCTTGTGCTTTCCAAAACACAAGAACAGATGTAAAGCAAAGACCTCGTGCTGTAGACCACGATGAATTTGAACAAACTGAATTTGAACAAATTTGAACTTGAACCCCGTCATACCAATCGTCAGGACCCATGGGTTGTATTGCCTACAATCCAGAGAAAAATATTAGCACCAGTTGATTTATCATTGTGGAACAGACGACGCTGATGCCTCCAACAAGAAAACCGTATATGACAACTTTCTTTCGACAAAAGAGACCATACAGAAATACTGGATGTAAGTGTATAATTCTTGTTGATACAAAGTTAGCCCATTCACATCTTTAACTTCAAATCCCTTACGATCGAAATAACATTCCTATTAAGTAAGCTTTGTCTTACGAACAAAATTTCTCTTTGTCAAAACAAATCTATACCGGAGCTAGCAGCCAAACAAACCAAACAAGGGAAACGTCCAAAGGCTCTCTGTAGCTTAGCAGACCTGCACAAGCTTTGACCAAGCCCTTAAATAAAAAACTCCAACTCTGACTCAACTAGGATCAACGCAACCGAACAAATGGCAAAGCGGAGTTTCGATTCTGGAAGGATTCGCTCCGACTCTTTCTTATTTTTATATTCCTCCAAACAGACACCATACACGACGATTTTGAATCATTGTTCGCGCAACACGGGGAACAACATGCACAGCACGGAGCACTTTGGGTATGCTGTTTAATTGGGACTTTGGAGGGACACCACACCAGGAATTTGCGTGTAATCGAGGAACAACTACTGGTGCCGGAGTTGATTAGTCCAGCGGTAATCTAACCTGAGATTCCCTTCAAAAAAATGCGATCGAGCGATGGCTGTTGCTTTCACTGCTCCTTTTCGGGGCGGGATCGCTTGCATTTGGGATGAGCTTCCGTAGGCTGGATGGAGACAGATCTAATGACGCCGAATGGATTGATCTTTTGGGTGATGTGGTATAAGATCTTCCGGAGTTGATGAAGTTGTAGATAGACGAGGCTAGCTATGGAGCTACTTAGAGAGAGTACCAGTGGTGATAATTGGGAAGATCCTCCAGGAAATTGTAGCCGATTTGTGGCTGATGAGATAGCATTGGTTTCGTAAGAGACGACGAAGAAGCCAAGTCGGTTTCATCTTTTGTGGAGCGAGTTTTTTTTTTTTTTCCTTTTTTCGCGAGAGGGTCCCGTTCGAGCGCTGCAGCTGTTTGTGAGGCGACCCCTCGCTGTTGCTATCTTTCTTGCAGAGAGAAAAGGGTGGAAAGGAAAAGAGGCGTCTGCGTCTCCAAATTTTTGAAAATCTGCGCCGGGAATCACATCGTAGTCGTGATCAATCTGCGCAGGATTTTTAAAGAGGTTGGGTGGGATCGCTCGACCCACAAGAGAAAAGATCACCGGTCAAAATGCCCAGGCCGGGCATCTGCTGTGAATCAAATGGATGAGCGCCGCTGACCGTGTTCTTGCGCGTGGGTCTCGCCGATCGGGCGCGAGGATGTCGTGCCAGATCCTCGCCGCGGTGCTGGGATCGTGCTTCGCGATCTTTGCCGTGGTTTTGGGTGATGGGTCGGATCAAGTCGTGGCAATGCTCGCGCTCAAGAGTGGGATCGTGGATCGCTACGATCGGCTGGCGAGCTGGAAGAGCTCGGACAAATCCCCGTGCGGCTGGGAGGGCGTGGAATGCGTCACTGGAATCGTGGTGGGCATCAACATCGGATCGAGGAATCTAAGCGGCAGCATCGATGGCCTCTTCGACTGCTCGGGGCTCTCCAATCTCTCCTCCTTCGCCGCGTATGACAACTCCTTCTCCGGGGGATTCCCGGCGTGGATTCTCAGCTGCAAGAATCTCGTCTCGCTGGAGCTCCAGAGGAATCCATCCATGGGCGGAGCTCTCCCGGCCAATCTCTCCGCGCTGTCGCTGCTCCAGCACCTCGATCTCTCCTTCGATCCCTTCACTGGAACCATCCCCGAGGAGCTGGGCGGCCTCAAGAATCTCCAGCGATTGCTCCTCTGGAGCTGCAAGCTCGAGGGGCCGCTGCCATCTTCGATCGGTGAGCTCTCCTCCCTCACGAATCTCACGCTCTCGTACAACAATCTCGGCCCCGAGCTCCCAGAATCTCTGCGGAACCTCTCCACTCTCCAGTCGCTCAAGTGTGGCGGATGCGGCCTCTCGGGGCGAATTCCTTCCTGGCTGGGCGATCTCCGCAAGCTCGATTTCCTGGAGCTCACGTACAACAGCCTGTCGGGAGACATTCCAGTAGCGATCCTGGGCCTCCCCAAGCTGACCAAGCTCGAGCTCTACAACAATCTCCTCACGGGCGGTATACCGCGGGAGATCGCGGGGCTGACCTCTCTCACGGATCTAGACCTCAGCAGCAATTCTCTCAGCGGGAGCATACCGGAGGAGATCGCGTCCATCCGCGGCCTGGCGCTCATCCACCTGTGGAACAACTCGCTGACCGGGGCGGTACCGCGCGGCATCGCCAACCTTACCGCGCTGTACGACGTCGGACTGTTTCAAAACCGGCTCACCGGGAAGCTGCCGCCGGACATGGGCAGCCTCTCCAGCCTCCAGATCTTCGACGTCTCCTCCAACAATCTCTCGGGAGAAATCCCCAGGAATCTCTGCCGCGGTGGCCGGCTGTGGCGGCTCATGCTCTTCCAGAACAGCTTCTCGGGCGGTATACCGCCGGAGCTGGGGTCGTGCGAGTCGCTCATCCGGGTAAGAATCTTCGGGAACTCTCTCTCCGGGGCGGTACCGCCGGGGCTGTGGGGGAAGCCACTCATGGTCATCCTCGATATCTCGGACAACCAGCTCGAGGGCGCGATCGATCCGGCCATTGCCAAGTCCGAGAGGCTGGAAATGCTGAGGATCTTTGGGAACCAGCTGGGTGGCGAGCTGCCCAGATCGATGGGCCGGCTCCGGAGCCTCAACCAGCTCAACGCCAGCGGCAACCAGCTCACCGGAAGCATCCCCAGCGAGATCGCCCAGTGCTTGAGCCTGACGTATCTCTTCCTGGATGGAAACAAGCTCCAGGGGCCGATCCCTGGCGAGATCGGCGAGCTCAAGCGCCTGCAGTACCTCAGCCTCGCCAGGAACTCCCTCTCGGGATCCATCCCAGGCGAAGTTGGCGAGCTCTCCAATCTCATATCGCTGGATCTATCCGAGAACCAGCTGAGCGGCAGGATCCCGCCCGAGCTCGGCAAGCTCCGGCTGGCCGAGTTCACGCACTTCAACGTGTCGTACAACCGGTTGACTGGGTCCGTACCGTTTGACGTGAACAGCGCGGTGTTTGGCTCGAGCTTCATCGGCAACCCGGGGCTGTGCGTCACCACCTCGGGCTCTCCTTGCTCGGCCTCCTCGGGCATGGAGGCCGATCAGACTCAGAGGAGCAAGAGGAGTCCGGGAGTGATGGCTTTGATCGCTGGAGTGGTGCTCGCCTCCGCGGCGGTGGTGTCTTTGGCGGCGTCGTGTTGGTTCTACCGGAAGTACAAAGCGCTCGTCCACCGGGAGGAGCAGGATCAAAGGTTTGGAGGACGCGGAGAGGCGCTCGAGTGGAGCTTGACGCCGTTCCAGAAGCTGGATTTCAGCCAGGAGGATGTCTTGGCGAGCCTGGACGAAGACAATGTGATCGGGTGTGGCGGAGCTGGGAAAGTTTACAAGGCGAGCTTGAAGAATGGGCAGTGCCTGGCCGTGAAGAAGCTATGGTCGTCGAGCGGTGGCAAAGACACGACGAGCAGCAGCGGCTGGGACTATGGATTCCAGGCCGAGATCGAAAGCCTGGGACGGATCCGTCACGTAAACATCGTCCGGTTGCTGTGCTGCTGCTCCAATGGCGAGACCAACGTCTTGGTTTACGACTACATGCCCAATGGGAGCTTGGGCGATCTTCTCCACAGTAAAAAAGGCGGGGTGTTGGACTGGTCCGCGCGGTACCGCGCGGCACTTGGCGCCGCGCACGGGCTGGCGTATCTACACCACGACTGTGTACCGCAGATACTCCACCGGGACGTGAAGTCAAACAACATTCTTTTGAGCGAGGATTTTGATGGATTGCTGGCGGACTTTGGGCTGGCGAGGCTGCTCGAGGGATCATCCAGCGGGGAAAATGGTGGCGGATACTCCGTTTCATCGCTTCCAGGATCTTTGGGCTACATCGCTCCAGGTTGGTCTCTCGACCCTTGCTTTCTTCGATCGATCAAAGTGATAGAATCCTTGTTTTCCTTGCAGAGTACGCGCACAAGCTCAAGGTGAACGAGAAGAGCGATATCTACAGCTATGGAGTTGTGCTGCTCGAGCTCCTCACTGGGAGGAGACCAGTGGACGCTGGGTTTGGCGACGATGGCATGGACATCGTGCGATGGGTGTGCGCCAAGATCCAATCCAGGGACGACGTGATCAAGGTGTTTGATCCCAGGATCGTGGGCGCCAGCCCGAGAGACATGATGCTGGTGCTCAAGATCGCGCTCCACTGCACCAGCGAGGTGCCCGCCAATCGCCCCTCGATGCGCGAGGTTGTGCGGATGCTCAAGGATGTGGATCCCAGCCTCTCTTCCGCGGGAGATAGCGACGATCAGATCGACCGGAAGAAGTCACTGATAGATGTGGTGTAGAACCCTAAACTCTAGACTAGTATTTTTAGGGTTCTTTAAGAGCCCTAAAATTGGAAGAGAACTTCCATTTTCTTATCAAAGGTAGATTTAAATCAAAAGGGTGGCAATCGCATCTTCAAACTCGCGAGTGTGAGCATCCACATCGCCCTTGGAGCTCGTTACAATCACAGCGCTCACCGGTCTGGCTATTCCACATATGCGTCCCAATTCCAGCTTTGAGGGAACGAATACATAGCTAAGGTTCTTCATGGTTGCTTCGGTTATCACACTCGAAACGATCTCCAGCGGCTCTGTATCGGATGCTAAAACGACGAAACCTGTTTGTCCTCGCTCCAAAGTCTTGAGAACTTCATTGATTCCTTTCCTCACCAGGTTGAGTTGCACAGCACTATCCAGGATGCTCAAGACTTTGTTCTTGACGTGCCCAGTAGCAAGTGGATAATCCATAAACCCTAGAATGGAAATCCCCGAGTTCTTTTATAGAGGTATAGGGTTTTGGAAGGCTAAAGTATTTTGAATTTTAGGGTTTTTGAGAGCTTGGCTATGGCTTCGTCGTTGCGCGCGAGGAAGGCGGCGGGCGGATCGAGCGCCGGTGCGATCGAATCAAGCGATAGGGAAACGGCTGATTCACCGGCGCGGCGGCAGGATCCAGCTTCAGCGCAGGTCTGTGTGTGGGGCGTCGTCGGGATGGTGATTCTCGGACTCGCGGTGCATTACGTTCAGAGCATTCGGCTCCCGAGGCCGCTGCTCGCCGAGGAAGCTGGGAAGCTCGGTTTTTCCGAAGAGCGCGCCATGGGGCATTTGAAAGTTCTCACGAGCTTTGGGCCCAAGCCTGTTGGCTCTGAAAATCTCGACCACGCTTTGGAGGTATGCAATCTCTTGTTGTTGTTTCTCCTATGCAAAGATTGATCGATCGTGTGGCAGTATATAGTTCGTGTCCTGGAGTCCATCAAGAGCAAAGCGAATTCACGGGTTTTTATGGAGATCGAGCGTTTTCGTGCGAAGCCTGGAAGAAATCGTTTGCAAGGAGGGCTTTTCAAAGGAAAGACTCTTGCTTATGCCGACTTGAGTCACGTACTCGTTCGATTGAGCTCCAAGCACTCGGACGATGCCGAAGACAATGCCATTCTTGTGTCCTCTCATGTCGACACGGTCTTCACATCGTAAGTGCTTTTTGCGAACTTCAGTTTAAAGTTCTAGACAGAGAAAGATTCTAAGTTGGAACTCTAGAAGCGGAGGAGGGGATTGCGGCTCCTGCGTATCTTCTATGTTGGAGCTTGTTCGAGCGCTGTCCAACATAGCTCAAGGATTTAAGCATTCAGTGGTATTCTTGTTCAATGCCGGAGAAGAGGAGGGCCTTGATGGTGCTCACAGCTTTATCACTCAGGTGAGACGTCTTGTTTTCTAAAAAGCTTATTTCATGTTTTTGTTCTTTTGCAGCACCATTGGAATTCATCGATCAGAGCTTTTATAGATCTGGAAGCCATGGGAGCAGGGGGAAAGTCTAAATTGTTTCAGGTAGTTTACATTTCTCATGTTTAAAAACAAATGTAGTCGATTTCTCGAAGGCTGGACCGGACAAATGGCTTGTGGACGTTTTTGCTCAGACTGCTCGGCGTCCGTCTGCCAACATAGTTGCTCAAGTAAGTTCTAGGCATGCAAAGAATGTTTTTTATTTGTATTTACCTATGGCGGCAGGATGTTTTTCAAGCAGGACTCATCAAATCTGCAACAGATTTTCAAGTCTACAGGGAAATAGCTGGATTATCTGGCCTCGACTTTGCATATGTCGAGAATGGGGCTGTCTATCACACTCAGGTAAACAGGTTTGAGGGTTGGTCTTACAATTCTAACTAACATTGGTTTTCGCAGAATGATGCATTTAAACTTGTTCGAGCTGGATCATTGCAACACCTGGGAGATAATATTCTACCCTTCCTTGTGGAGGTTGCTTCGTCTCCTGAGCTTGCTCATCTTGGAACGAGTCAAAGCTCAAAGCTAGAAATGGTCTACTTTGACGTCTTGGTATGTCTCTTTTGTGATTTTTGTTGTTTATATTGGCTTTCTGACAACAGGGACAATATATGGTCACCTTTACACGAGATTTTGCAAAGCTTCTCTACTCGTCCGTCCTTATCCAATCACTGCTACTCTTTGTCGGATCGATGATTCGAGCCGACCAGTTCTCTTTACCAGCGCTATTACTCGCTGCTTTTGGGGTGATACTGTTTTGGATATTTTCTCTATCATCTGCTGTGGCAGTGGCTGCACTACTTCCACGTCTATGCACATACTCCGTCCCTTATCTAGCTCATCCGATATTGGCAGTGGGCCTGTTTGGTGCTCCGGCAGTTTTCGGTGGTGTTATTGGCCATACACTCGGTTATAAATTACTGCGTTCTTACTTGGTTCGTTCTATTCCAAACAGCGCGAGTGTGACTGCGGAAACCGAGAAGTTTATGTTCAAGGCCGTATTCTTGATGTGGCTTTTAGTTTTTGGACTCGGAGTGTGGGCTAATGCCGGGTCTTCGTATATTGCAATGGCTTGGCTAGTTATACCGTCAATAGCCTGTAAGTCCGTTTTCTTTGATAAGTTTTCATATACTTACTGGTAGTTTTCACAATACAGATGGTTTGAAAGAATCTTCACTGTCAAAGCACCAAGCTCCAAGGCAATTAAGCTCGTGGACGTTGCTGCTGGGCCTACCCGTGCCTATAGTTTTGACCTCCGATATTTTCCTCAGCTTGCCAAACGTGCTGATTAGCAACCTTGTTCGGTTTGACAGGTTTGTAAAAACTTTTCCGGGTTTTCTTGACGACATGGCTTTGTATCTGCAGACATCCAGGTGGTGGACCTCCGTGGGTAGGAAATGCCGTGATAGCCGTCATGATTTCGGCAATACTATGTCTCTCGTTGAGCTATTTGATGCCTTACATTCATAGAGGTAATTTCTACGATATGTAACGTTTTGTTTACAGATCCTTTTGTCCGCTCAGGTGCCGGAGTATGGATTTCATTGTCAACAATATTTATTTTTCTTGTATCATTGTCGGTGGTGTCGTATGAATTGGTGCCCGCATTTACAAAGGACGTCGCCAGAGGCACATATGTAAGATTTATTTTCATTTTTGTGTTCTCTTTCTAATTTTGCTCCTGCAGGTTGTTCATGTGATTGAAGCGAACATGGACAAGCTATCCTCCGAGTCGTATATTTCAGTGTCATTTACGACTCCTGGTGGGCTTGGGAAAGAAGTCCAGTCTCTTGCTGAGAGCGGCTTCACGTGCGGTGGTACCGAGAGACCAGATTTTGTGACCTTCGGCGTTAGGAAAGGCTGTGAAAAGCCGAGTGATCTGGACGAGGATTTATGGCAAGGCCGTCCGAACCTGACGATCCTCAGCGATCATACTGTCGGCGACCAGAGAACTACATCTGTCCTCTTAAAGACGATGTCTTCCAATCGGTGGTCTCTTTCTATCGACACTGACAGGATTCAAGCTCTTCATGTGGACATAATCACCGACGAAACGGGTAAAACACTTTCATCCTGCTCAGTCGGTTTTCTGCGAGATTAATGCGATTGTGTACAGGTACGAAAGAGATGCTGGTGCCGAAGGACGACATCGCTGGAATAGACGGGGTTCATGTGCTCCAGTTTGCGAGCGGTAAAAATGGCCCTCACGTATTCAATATTGAGTTGGTCTGGCAAAAGGGAATCTCTGCCGAGAAGAGCAGCAAGGAGCTGCTCAAGCTCAGGACGGACCTGAATGTTTTGACTCCTGACGCAGCAAAGACACTGAAGCTGCTGCCGGATTTCTGTACCTTGTTTGGTAAGTCTACAAGTCCTTACACTTTGGCTTACCTCTCGAGACTTTCACTTTGAAAAACTCGGGAGTTTAATATCGATATCGTATTTTATTTATATTGAGAGACGACGAAGATCTTGAAGGGTCAGATTAGCATACGGTACGTAAGCTTTACATTAGCGAAGACAAGTTTGGAGACAGCTAGCAGAGCATTGGTTCAGCCACCCATATGGAAAACGACAAGGCAATGGAGGCTCAAGCTCGAGGTGTCTCGAGAAGTCTGACGGTAAGCAATGAATTTCTTTGGTGAATTGTATTTCTTGCTAGCAGTAGTCTATTTCTTACCAGCGCTGTGCTTGGCAACACCTCTGGTCCCTGCGCTTTTTATCTTTGGAGATTCACTGGTTGATGTTGGAACCAATTATTTCGTTCCCAACTCAACTCTTATAGCAGATATTCCACCGTTTGGTGAAACGCACTTTCATCATCCAAACGGACGTTATTCCAATGGTTTGATCCCGTCGGATTTTCTGGGTAAGTTCTTCTGGCCGGGAAGTTTAGTTACTGAAATTGTTGCTGTTGGTGCAGCTTGGTTTTTAAATTTACCATTGGTGCCACCGTATCTGGATGGAAATGCAAGCCACGCTTTTGGTGCAAATTTTGCGTCCTCCGGCGCAGGACTTCTCGTTATTACAAATGAAGATAGGGTATAACGTGTTCTTTCCTTTTTCCTTCGTTTTCTGCGTCACCTTTTCTTCTCTAGAATATCATTTCGTACACCCAGCAGATCAACCAATTCTATAGCTTGGTTTCAAAATGGAAGGCAGGGCAACCGGCTGCAGCAGTAAACGAGAAAATTGCGAAGTCCATCATTCACATCAATATTGGTAGTAACGACATTATCACTACTTACTTTTCGGATTCCAGGTTCCAACAGGTTCCTCCAAAATACTATGTGAACTTCCTGATACTTCTTTACAACAGAAGCTTCAAGGTAAGAAGAAAAATCTCTTTCAAAGAAAAGTAGGTATCACTTCCTTTTTTCTATTGGGCACAGGCACTGTATGACGCAGGTGCTCGAAAATTTGCAATCTCTGAACTGGGACCTTTGGGATGCACGCCGCTGTCGAGACATTTTGTCAGCTCAGAGTTGAAAAAGCAAGGATGCTACCTCCCCTTGAACTACATGGCGAAGAGCTTCAATTACAAACTCAACGAGATGCTAGCACAATTGCGAGCAGAGCTGCCAGACGCGAAGATCATCACCGTGAAGTCATATGAGATTTACATGGACATGATAAGAAATGCAAGCAAATATGGTAAGCCAAGCTCCTCTTTACGTCCTTCCAAGGTTTTCTATCCTATAGGATTCATCGAGACGAGGCAGAACTGCTGTGGAGCTGGAGAGTTCCACGCAGAGGTAGCCTGTGGCATGCCTGTTCCTCCAGACAAGCCGTTTAAGCAGTTTCTTTGCCAAGATCCTTCCAAGTATCTCTTCTGGGACCTCCATCCCACGGAACAGGGCTATAGATTTTTCTCCAACTATTTGTGGAGAGGAGGCTCGGGAGCAGTAGCGCCATTCAATCTTCAAAAGCTGGTCACGTTATAAACAAGGTGGCGAAATCATCGTCAATTATTTTATGGTCTTCCAATTTTTCCAATGATAACAAGGGTCCGTCCTTGCAAAATCTTCTTTTGTTTTTTTCTTTATTTTTTCCCCCAGAGCCTTATTCTCAAAAACATTTTCCAAGGCCTTGTCGTGTAGGCCTGCTTCGCAGCCAAACAAAAAAGAAACGACGAAAAAAACCGAAGAAAGTGAAAAAAAAAAAAGGAAGAAAAAAAAAGAAGAAAGAACAAACCAGCTCCAAATCTTCCCTGGTGGAACTTCTCGCATCAAGAGGGCGGCATCGCAACACAAACCAGCGAGTGTGGCAGTAGAGCAGCCTACTTCACTGCCGCATCAAAAGTTGCTCGCCTAGACTGGAATCGCATTGGCCGCCGCGTCTTTCTCTCCTGCCAGGCTATGGAGGTAGGACTTTCGTTGCATCGCCGCAGAAGCACTGGCAGCAGTGGTAGTAGTAGCGTTGCCTTCCGCGCTCGTGGAAGCCAACTTATTGTCTGTAAGATTCTCTGTGCTGGTGGAGGCACTCGTCTTGTCGGTAAGATTCTCTGCGCCAACCACGTCCGCCGTACTTTTGCTCAAGAGCGTCGCGCCATCCTAAATCCAAATTAGTGCGCGTCAATCACAAAAAGGAGAGGGCACCTGCTGCTGCTGCTGCTGCTGCTGCTGCTTTTGTGAGCTCCGTGATCTCTTCTCCTGCATTAGTATCTGCCGGTTCTCGTAGTACTGGAAATCGTCCAGAATTGACGTGCTTGAGTTGTAGTTCTTGAAAATCCTCAGCATTTCAAGTCCCTGATCGAGTTGGACCTGTGGTGTGGAATGGAAGTTAGTACTGGCGGTTCTTCCATTTGAGAAGCTACATTTAGATTACCTCTTGAGTGTCTCTGCTGTTCGTGACGGGCTTGTTGTCGTTGTTCTCTAGAATTATGTGCCGGAAGTGGCCATTAGTGATATCCTTGATGAAATGCCACTTTACTGAGAACCGTCCAGTCCACTTGTCTTGTTGCCAAAAATCGACGCTCCGGAGAAAGTCCATTGGTCCGCTCATTTCAGCTACCCCGCAAAATTGCCCGCTCCCGTTAACCTGAAAAGAGGCGTTTTCAGGATGTCCAGGTAAGCAACAAAGCTATGGAACCTCACCGAAAAAAAGAGGAAAATAGGAAATTCTCCGGCCGCTTCCTTATATGCCGCGTCCAGCCTCTTGTTTCCATTTGGAGTACTCGCCCACACACCGTACTTGATGCTCTTATGTACATCGTCTTCGCTATACGACTTGATTATGAAAAACTTCGCGTTGCTGTAGGACGTGGAAAAGTCGGGCTTATTGTACTGCTCCTTTGATACCACAAAATTCTCGCCACCTTCTCCACCTGATCCTTTCTTCTGCAGCTCAGGATATATTCGTTGAGGCTTTCCTTTTGAGGCCCTTGGTGCCCTGTTGTGCTCGGCCTCGACACTATCTCCTCCTTTCCCTACCGGCCTACCATCTACATTGCCCCGTTTTCCTTTGCCTGGTCCAATAGAGTTGAGAGCCGACCTTGTCAAAGGTGGAAAACCTGTTCCCAACTCCCCAGGCTTCTGAGCCGGGGCTGGCTCTTGCTGTGAAAAATTAAAAACCAAATTTTGGTAACTTAAAAAAGCCATAACTTTTTGAAAGCTTACCTGCGTTTTGTTGCTTGACCTCTGATGAGAAGAGCTTCTTGCGTCAACCCAAGGAGGAGCTGTAGCTCGCAGCCCTTCGAAACCTCCACGGCCATCCTGCCTGGAATTATGCACAGGCATGGGATAATGTATGTAGGGCCCCATCACTGCAACCGGTCGTTGCACATTCTTCGTCGGAATAGCACCTGTTGATCCATCATTCTTCAAGGGATCCACCTCTACGAAGTGATACTGACCGTGGTACACCGGAGCAGGAAAATGAAAAGCGGACTGTCCGTAGAGCTGACCATCGGCGTAAAACGGAGCTGGGGAGTACTGGCCGTATGGTTGCGAAGCATAGCCATAACTTAGAACAAGGCTCTCGGGGTTATACAAGGCCTGCAAGCAAGACCACACACAATTGAGCTCCAAAACTCCCAATGGAAAACAAAGTAGATTTCTTGACAAGCTTACCGGATCTAGCCCGTTAAGGCCAACGTAACGAGGATACTCCTCCCAGTCCGTCGTCCCTGGATATATCAAAACAAAGGAAACGATCAAAACGTGTGCTTTATGGTACACGGATCTCGATCCATACCCCCTTGAGCAGCATAGCCATTTGTGGAATAAAAAATGCTCGAATCCGGATTAACTTCGTGAGTGTTGCTAAGAAAATCACCACTAGACACTGACGCGTCGCCGCTACTGTCCGAAATATTGCCGTCCTGGCCCGCGTAGAGCTGCCCAGAGTTACAAAGAGAGACGAATGTAGAAAACGTGGCGGGGAATCGTCGGCCTACCTCTGGAAACTCCGATTTCTTCCCCCGGGGCTCGACCTTGAGGTTCTGGAGCAGATCGTTCACTTCTACAAGCAAAATTTCCACCGTCAAGACGAGAAAATCCGAGAGAAAGAGAATGAGCACTTACGATCCTCGGGCGTAGGAACCGGTCCCATAATCCGTGGGAAGACCTCGCAATGCGGCGCCAGAATTCACGAAGAAGCGCGCCGATTCTCCTCCTCTGCAACGAACAAGCGCATCAAACAAACCGCGGCGGCGCGGGCGCCCTAGGCCGCTGGCATCGATCGATCGATCGATCGATCGAGCGCTGGATCGCTCGCTTACTTCCTTCCCTAGGCGCGGCGGCACACGATGGAGGCGCGCATCAAAAGAATGAGGAGCAAAGGGTTAGCGAAAAGAGACACCGGCACCAAGTCCATTCCATGCCGGCTCATTGTTTTGGCGAGAAGAAGGCGGGGAAGCTTCGGTGCCGAACCTAAACCGCGCCGGGGCCGGGGCTAGGTCTGGGAGCGCCCGAGCGTCGTGGCAGGCGCAATATCAGCCGTAGATGGCCCCATCGGGCGGCTTCCATTGGCCCCTGGCGTCCCACTTTGGACCGTGGGATTTGCTCTGACCGGCGGAAAGCCCGGAAGAAAGAATTCGTTATTTTTTTCCTTTCACCTTTTTCACCCTTTTGGAATGGTTGCCCTAAACGACCTTGGGATATTCTCTCGCATCTTTTTCCTTGTTACCTTATGAATAGATGGCTTGAGGCAATCCATTGTTGTAAGAGCCTCGCTGATGCTACTGACATCCACGCATCAATCTCCGGAGCCTTCCAGAATGACACTTTCCTCCTCAACAAGCTCATCCAGCTCTACGGAAGGTACGGCAGCCCTCTGGATGCGCGCCACGTGTTCGACCACATTGCCGCCAAGGACACTTACTCATGGAATCTCATGCTCTCTGCGTACATACGAAATGGCCATGTCGCAGAAGCCCGGGAGCTCTTCGACCAAATGCCTTGGAATCTGTCGATGTCAGCAAATGCCGCAGATGGGCATCTGCGGGAATCTAGAACTTCTGTTGCAAACGTGCCAGCGAGGGATCTTGTGAGCTGGACTACCATGGTTTCGGCTTGTGCCGATAAAGGGCATCTGCTAGATGCCAAGGTGCTGTTTGATTCTATGCCTGTTTATGACCTCATTGCCTGGACAGCAATGCTTGGCGCATATGCTCAGGCCGGACTGGTTGTAGAGTCTCGAAACATATTCCTCCAGATGCCTGAGAGGAATCTTGCGTCGTGGAATGCAATGCTCTTGGCATATTCCCATGTAGGGAATCTCTGCGACTCGTTTAAGGTGTTTTTAGAGATGCCGGAGAGGAACCTGGTGAGCTGGACGGTACTTGTGGCTGCATTTTTGGAAGCTAATAGCCTAGATGGTGCCAAAGAAATCTATGATAAGATGCCACAGTGGGATGTGGTCTGCTCAACTGCTCTTCTCGCAGCATATGCCGAGGGAGGAAGCGTTGAGCTCTCGAAGCAAATATTTGATGAGATGCCATACAGAAACTTGTTATCTTGGACTGCTATGCTAAAAGCTAACGCCCATGGTGGAAATCTTAGAGAAGCTATAGAGATATTCCAGAGAATCCCAGAGCTGGACACTCTGGCTTGCAACGTAATGTTGTTAGCATATGCTCAACATGGAGAAACCCGACAAGTGGATGCCATGCTTGGGCAAATGCCGTGTCTGGATATTGTATCATGCAACTTGAAACTTTCTCTTCTTTCTCAAGACGGAAAAATAGAGAAAGCACAAGAGAAGTTCCATAACATGCCTCGGAAAAACCTAGCGTCATGGACATCTATCCTATCAGGTTATGCCTATGCACGGGATCTCGAGTACACTAAGTATGTATTTGACCAAATGCCCGAGTGGGACTGTTTTTCATGCACTACCATGTTTGCTGCATATGCCCAAAACTGGCATATCCAAGAATCGCTGGGAATATTTGCTAGAACGCTCTACAGGGACACCCCCTGTTGGAACGCATTGATATATGCATATGCCCAAAACGGGCATCCGCTCAAAGCTAAGAGTGTTTTCGACACCATTCCAGATCCAGACTCTGGCTCTTGGTCAGCACTGCTATCCTGCTATGCTCAAGGAGAGCTATCACAAAACAAAATAGATCTCACCTTAAGTTCAATGGCTGCTCACTGCGTAACACCCAATGATTCATGTGTGGCTTCGTTTCTCATTGCTTGTAGCCGTGCGGGGGGATTATATGCTGGGAGGTGTTGCTTGGTCTCAATGGCTATGGACTATGGAGTTTCACCAACAAGGCAACACTTCTTTTGTATGGTTGATCTGCTTGGGCGAGCTGGTTTCCTGGCTGCTGCTGAGGACTTGATCCTCAATATGCCCTTTGAGGACGAAGCACTGGAGTGGGAGTGCTTGCTGGGTGCATGTGCCATGTATTATGATTCCTCCATTGGCACTCGGGCAGCAATGAGAGGGTTTAGTATTTAGTCACTAGCACTTGATTTAATTTTAAGTTTGATATTTTAAATCAGGAAAGATATGTTGTTATGTGATGACCTTAGGCCCTGCAGCACCCAAGAGGGGCTGGTGGCATATGGAGGCTGGTTTTGGAGCGGCCAAGAAGCTTGGAGTGCTAGAGATGTTTTGAAACTCTGTGTTTTTATGTTTGCTTAACACTCTTCTATGCTTGGGATCATTGTGTGTTGGGTGCAATCTTCTTCAAGGTTCCCTTATTAAGAATACTTTTCCACTCAGAACCAACTTTACACTCTACTTTATTCTCTCTACTGTAAGAGTATAATATTCAATTTGTAAGTGGTAGTGAATATACATAGAATATGCTTGGGTATTCTAGGATATTCTACCATCTAACCAGTTGTTATTCATTTAAATTAATTTTTTATTTATAATTTATTTATAACATTTCTTAAATAATTATTAGTATATTCTAGTTTATTTTACCATTTCATGGGTTGATATATATAATAAGATTAATCTTGTGTTTATAAATTATAAAATATGTTTATAAATATAAATGTTTTATTTATTCAAGAAATGGTTGGTTTTCTTAATAGTAGTGCTCAATGAAAAATAATTTTTTTTAATACATATATAAATGGGAATTTGTAATTACCAACCTATATTTGAATTTATATATGGAATCTCTTAGAAATACTTTACAAGATTAGCTAATGTCTATGTCAGATAGAAAAGGATAACTTTGAGGGTGTAATATTTTACTTATTCTTGAGGTAAATATTATTTGTGTATATGTGGAAACATGTGATAGTGTTATATTTCATTTACTTTATTTTATATATTAGGCTTGATATTGGCACTCTTTATAGAAGGCCCTAAAACTCATAACCCACTCAATTACATATGTCCAAGGGTTAAGTTTTACTTCATGGCTATCATATACACCATGGTCGAAATCACATGCTTTACATTTTTATAGAAATAAATAAAACAAACTATTACTCACTCCTTTAATACCCTTAAGAAATCAAACAAAATTAGTTCTGAGCTTATACATACTATACATACTTTGATGATTGATGTACACTTTAATCTTATTTTACTATACACTTCAATCTTGTTAAGATTATATAGTATAGTTAAGCAATTCCCTACATACTATTCTAGTAATAATATGTCACCTATAATTCCAAAATTAGAAAATTTAACTTGACCTTGGCCACAGCTTCTCTCCATGCCGGGCGTGTCTCGATTCTCCGAGAATGGGCTCGTGCTGCCGGCTAGGCCGTCCTCATCGCAGAAGATCAATGATCACTATCAATTGCATCTAATTGCTTGGTTGTACTTATATAGTAATGAGTAATTACATGTTGTATTGCATTGGAGAGGTAGTGTGATCTATGGACGTTGCATAGTTTCTTGCCAAATGTGAGGTGATATATAGTATATTCATGTGGAATATAAAATTACTTTAGTTTGACATCTGGCAAGTGTATAGCCCTATTACATTGTTACAGGCATTTATTACACGATAAATAAATTAATCTCTTTTATTTTTTATTAAAAAAATAAGTTTTTATTTTTTCATAATGTGAAGTTTATTAGAGTTAACAAAAAATAAATGATGAGGTACTACTTTCTTTTTCTTAATTGCTCAAAAATCTTGGTTGCAACATGCACTCAAGAAAATAATCTTCCTCACTATTCAACTCTTTTACTAATATCCAGGGATTGCAATCTGCAAAGAAGATGTTGACAACCAGATCGTGCATAGCTTATAAATTGATCTCCACCAATCTCCAGAGCAATACCATTGAATTTCTGTGTCAAGAATTTAAATGGAGAACTTCAACCGTGTTATTGTCTCTCAGGTTTTTTAACTAATATTATCTTCTGGTTTTGATTGTCCCTTTAGTTAGAGAACAAGTGACGAGGATCATTTCTCTGAGAAATTACTTAGTCTCAATGGTAATAATAATAATTCAAATACGAAAGAGTTAAACATACACAAACGTTAGTAAGCATCCTCCCCATATACAATGGAGTCATTGGAGGATACGTTCCATTGCAATGCCGCAAATGACTTGTTCTCGAGCACCGTCTCTGCAACACGCAATGTCCCTCCCAGCTCAATCGGAACGAGCGGGATCAAGGAATTCACAACATCCGCAATGAGTGGCCTATAACTCGGCTCTGCTTGCACACACAGCATTGCTACTGCAGCAACCTGGAAAATTTACACAAGCAGGCCATCAGACAACCTTCAGACAACCTTCGACAAAGTTTCTCACCTGATGGAGATGCTTTGTATCCACGGTTCCTTGGAGAACAGGATCTATCACCGTTGGCAACGATGCTCGATCCCCCAAGAGCGGCAGAACCTAGAGTAAGAGAAACCTCTCAGAACCAAAAGGCTCAAGACAAGGATTCAACATACCCAAGTAACTAGCGACTCAGATCCCGTTGGCATGGATGGATCGATCGGCTTTCTCCCAGTTATAAGCTCCAGAAGAACAACTCCGAATGCATACACATCACTTTTCTCCGTGAGGCTCCCTGCACAAAAGTTTTCCGCAGTGAGCTAGTGTTGCACAATGGATATGTTTTGTTACCATTCAGGATGTATTCCGGGGCAACATAGCCAAGAGTTCCCCGAACGATCTCGTCCTGCCTGATTCCAGTTGGAGCAGACAGTGCAAGCCCAAAGTCCGCAACCTGTGTAAAGAATGAAGAAAAGCTTAATTCCGATTCAAGTCACATGTTTCATCCGAACTTTGGCATTAAAGCTTGCGTCCAAAAGGATGTTGGACGATTTAAAATCCCGATGGATTACAAGAGGGTTGCAGTGCTCGTGCAAGTGTTCCAAACCTCTGCAAATGACATTGACTATGAGCTTCAGAAAACCACAAAAACTTTATCCAAGTTACCTTGCCGAGTCAAGTGCGATTTTCATTCTCAGGTGCCACGAAAGAATCGATCCCTTTAGAGGACCTTGAAAATGGATAAAAGCGTGTAAGCTATTTGGACAATAACCTGGTTAACGTACCATGGAGTTGATCTTGCAAAGATCCATTCTGCATATACTCGTACACCAGAAGCCGCTGATCTCCGTGGCTGGAAAATCCTAGCAAGGAGACGAGATTCGGATGGCGAATCCCACTCAAGAGTTCAACCTCAGCCTGGAAAAACAGCACCCAAGAAGATAAATGTCTAGTCTTGCTTCAATATCTAGAAAAACCAACCTGGAATCCTTGTTCCGCTTGTTTCCCCTCGCTAAACAATAATTTAACTGCCGCAAAACAGTCGTCGTCTAGTCGTGCCTTGTAAACGCGTCCAGAGCCGCCCTCTCCTAACAAGTTGGCAGTACCGAAATTGCTAGTTGCTGCCTGGAGCAAAGGAAACTCGAAAGAATGAGCGAGTTCCTTTCGAGGGGCATTGAAACTACGTCCCCACAGCCACGGTGCAAACGGGCCTCGTCCGGAACCACCTACAAAAGAATAGCTCAGTTACAAAACCGCAACCAGCGAGTACCGACGTACCGGACGAGTATCCGTCACTGCGTTGGCTACCAGCCGGCGAATGCCTCAGAGATGGAGGCCGGTGGCACATCCATGCAACGAAAGTCGAGAACAGGATTGAGCCCCCGAGCAGAGTTGGGACGAGAACAACTGTAAGCAGCATGCCTTTGGTGAGCTTTGGCAGCCCCTGATCTTCGTCAAGCTCATGCTTTGCAAGCAAAGGCCCTGCACAGGAAGAACAAGCTCAATTCTTCAAGTTTCCTTGTTTTTCCTCGGAGAAAACGTACCTGGTGAATGAGGACTTGGAGCTGCAGTCGCTAGCCAAGCGGGAAGAACCACCGCAGCAGGCTTTTGCAAAGGTGATGTAGCAACTGGGAATGCTGGAGATGGAGGAGAATAAGAAACCGGTGATTGGAACGACTGTGGGTCTTCACTGGGAGAAGGAGCTACTGGAGGTGGAAGAAAAGGGGCCCAGGATCGAGGATCAATATCCTGATAGGGAGCCAGCAACGCAGAATCCGGCGCTTGCAGGGCTCGTCTACTGTGGAAACGAATCCCAGCAGCGCCACTGGAATGCGCTAGCATCGATCCCAGACAAAGCGAAAGAAGGAACCACGCCATGGTCATCGTCGGCAGCATCAAGGACCCATCTACACACACAATCGTGAGAATGCAGGTCGAAATACCAAGCTACATTCTCGCAGGCCAGAGAAAAAAGAGGAAAGCAAGAAGCCGCATACCTCTGCTGCGCTGCGATCGATCAAAGTAGCACGCCGTCGACGGTCCACCTCCAGCAGCAGCGCCTCGATCGCGCCATCGCAACCGAGAAAACGCCCGAGATTGCGAAAGAAGCAGCAAGAAACGCCCAAACCCTAGCAAGAACCAAGCGCCAGCGCCATTAAATCTCCATAGCTGCGATGTAGCAAGCGAGCAAACGAGAAGAGGATAATTACCTGGCTCCAAAAAAGCTCTAAACTGTCGCGGTGTGAACAGGGTCACGGCCGCGAATATCCCCGGCATCATTCTCGTCCCCAGGTGATTCAACCATGTGAGAAGTACCTGGTAAAGTATAAAAAAAAAGATAGAAATGGTCAGAGGCCTCTCTGGCTGGATTGCTTGGTAGTGAAGAAGCTTACTCTCTCTTTTCTTCGTGGATCAAGGAGAGCTATCTTTGAGCTGAATCAAACTGTCACACCACGGGATTTTAAAGTGATCGATCTCTCGGACAGTGTGGAGCGCGCGGCTTTATCCAGAATTCTTGCTGCTCCAGCTCCTGCGGAGAAAGAAAAAATAAAGTAGGAGTGAGTGAGACCCGTGTCCTCGTTCTCTCTAGTCAATAGAAAAAGGAGTGGGAACTTACCATCTACGATTCACGAGAGGGAGCTGCTTGTTCTGGAGTTGCCATTTATTGTCACATTGACTTCGTGTCTTGGAAGTTGGATGATTAAGTTTTGTGTAAGCGAACGCTGTTGTGTTCCATAAGCTTGGCTTGTAACGAGCAGAGTGAGACGTTGAGTTGATCGAGAGCGTTGCTAAACGAAGTGTAACAGTCTTGTTGTTTGTTTGCGGTCCCGTTAGTTGGCCACGGAAAGAATGAATCATAAGCCCCAGTAAGTATAAAGAGTGCTCTCTCGGTGCGTGCGATGCCCGAAAAGAACGTTACTTGTTGAGCTCTTCGAGAACTTAGTACAACTTAGCCAGGATGTTCTCTGCAAGTTAATGTAAATTCCAGTGTCGAAGAAACAAGCGAAGTCCATACCAGACCATATTTTTGTCAGAGCAGACATTGGTACTATATGCTTCGTAGCTCGGAAGTCATTTCAATAAAAACGAAAAAGCATGTCTTTAGATAAAACTTACCATTTCATGCCGCTGGATTCCATGAGGAACGGTGCTTTGCGTTGCATCTTCAAAAGATTGAGGGAGTGGATTCAAGCACCTTCTGCTAGCAAGTTCAAGGACTGCTCTTGGTGTGATGTTAACTTGCCCAGAAAACGCTTCTTGTCGAGCTCTTTCAAGATATATGTTGCCTTCGTCACATACGAAAAAGAAGATCCAAATATATGAGCAGCGCAGGCAGCTTTGTAGGTAACCATCTTCCACCGCTTTGCTGTAAGTTTGAGACTTAAGTTGGATCGAAGAATGAAACCAGCATACCGGATTCGTCGGCCGCTATTAAGTTTTCAGGGAAGTGCTTGGTTATCCACCAATTTCTGTCCAGGAACACAGAAACAAGCTCCTCAGCCGATATATCTCCCACGTCGTTGTTGATATGTGAGCTGATCTCGATAAAGCAATCGGCAAGCTTACGCCAAACATGAACTGAGCCAGGCTCCACGTCCAGATGGGTGGCAATAGCTTTGATAAGCAATTCAGTAGCATATTCACCTGTAATACTAGCGACTGTCAGCTACAAATACTTCGGATATGGAAGTCAACCTTTCTCCTGCAAGCCGATTAAACCAGTGATGGCATCCACGGACGACGGGTTATGGCTCAGTATCTCCTCGTAGCACTGAGCCATTCTATTCCAGTCCTTCTCGGAGAGCGACTCGAGCAGAAGTATTCGTAAGCTGTTAAAGGCAAGTGACAAATAGTCACGACAAGTGCTTAGATCCATACCTTAATGGTATGATATGCCTTGTAGCCTGGTAGCATATTTGGATCTCCTTATTAGCACCCTCAACATCGCCAGTCGCAAGTAACAACTGCAAAAACGAACAAATAAACATAAAAATAGTGAAAAGAAAAATTACTACGAACTTGCACGAGGCAAATCAACGCTGCTAGCATTTCTGGTGCCGACGCAATCGCACGTTGTAAGTGTTCAACGGCTTTATCGTAAAATTCCTTCGAACGAGGTGATAAAGGAACTATATACTCAACATTGGGCTGCTCGTATGGAATTTGCACAGGAAACAATCTCCTATCCATAACTGAAACGCCAGTTAGAAGCCATATCCCCACGAGTCAATACAAAGGAAACACTTACTTGGCTGTATTTCGACTCTAGCATTTGGCCAGAAATCATCATCCTCAGAAGCCTCCGAGTTCTTCCGCTTTCTGTTCAACGGCTTGTCCCTGGTTACTTCGGCTAAGGTGGAGTTTTTCGATTCTTCGCTTGCGTCGTCTACGTCTCTGACTAACTCTTCCTCTCCGACGGCCTTAGCTTCATCGCCACTTCGAGTTTCTGGCTGCCAATCCCCAAACGAACCAGCACCTTCGCTCACGTCTTTAATCCCTGCTTCTTCACATACTTGCTCGTACCACAAATGATGCAGTACCTGGCCATACGTTAAGTTCACTCCCGGATCGTCACGCAAAGCACCATCCGCTATTCTGTGATCCCAATCAAGAAAAGTTTTAGTTTGCGTGGGGAAACGAAAGCCAAGAGCACGAAGAAGTTACGTTCTTAAAGTGTTATAAGCACCTTCCCAGTCCCCTACACTCAAGAGATAAATTGCTAGGTGGAATTCCACTTCGCCTTGAAGTCTCTGGACATTTTTCATGAGAAAAGGAAGAAAGAAGAAAAGCACTTACTTTTCCCTCGAGGTGTCTAGTTTGTGGCTGTTGACTGTACATGAGACTAAAAAGCTTCCTGTATCGGGTGTGATTGTCCTCATCGGGTTCTATTTTCTCGAGAATTTCTAGAGCCATCTGGAATGGAAGAACAAAGTAACACAAAGTTTGCACAAAACACACAAACGCACACAAATACCGTGAATAGTTGCCTTGTGTCCTTGTGGCTTCTGGACCACAGCGATAGCGAGCGAAGCAATGCGCTACAAACCCCGGATGCCTCACCCCAGCGGTGCTCCAGCACGGCATCTTGCAAGAAACCGATGAGCCGCTCCTTGGAGTAGGAATCCAGATAGAGCAATCGATCATCGGCGCCGAAATCGTCGCCGATCCGGCCGCCTCTCGCTGTGTCGGAGGCAAAGACACGGCATTTCGGCAACTCCAGCCTCCGCGCCCTCCTCCGCGCCTCCTCCATCGCCGTCGCCAAGAGCCCTAGCTAAACCCTAGAGAGCCAGAAAAGAGGAATATCCGGTTTTTTTAAATTTGAAATTCTCTTCTCAGGGAAATATCCCTTGGTCTCCAATGCTCTTCGCGATTCTCTCGATTGCTACCAGATACGCAGCCTTGCGAAAACTACAGCCCTGCGAGAGAACAGAGAGAACGAAAGAAGTTCTCAGCTAGAAATCCTGGAAGAGTGTATTTCTAACCTTCTCTTGTGCTGTTTTCTTCACATTTTCCCAGCCGGTGACCATCGTTTCTTCCAAGCCGGAATGGACGAAGTCCACTTCCGTGTTGCTGCTCGCAATAAATGAAAAAAAAAAAAAAAAAAACTAAGAAACGAGGAAAACAGGATGACTGAGAACTTACCCCCTCGATAATTCGTCCCGCAGGCTCGTCGGGATTTTATGTCCGTTACCATATTGGTTTTCCAAGGCACTGAGAAGAACCTGTATCAATCCGGCTTAAGTTCGGACGATAAACAATAGAGAGGATTAATAGAAGCTTACTCTCTTCCCATGCTCTTCCATTCTTCGAGTCATGCGTCCAAATTCAATATGATTCAGGTTCTTTAGCCACTCGAAGTAAGAGACAGTGACTCCACCCTGCAGGAGCGTTTGTCATGTTCCGAGAATTCACCGCCGTTAAGTACCCAGATACCGCATTCACGAGCAAATCCGGGAGAATAACGACGCCTTTGCCTTCGAGAATCTTGTCTGCGGCAGGCGTGAGAGGTCCATTTGCAGCTTCTGCTATCACTTTAGCCTGCAACAGAGAAACAAGGGTGCGTTGGAAAATGAAAAAGAACCTTTCTCGAATGCAATGCACCTTGATACGATCAGCATTCCCGGAATGAATCTGGGACTCTAAGGCCGCCGGTATCAGCACGTCGCACGGGAGCTCCAAAATTTTCTCAGTGTCGGTAATCTATCAGACAGTAAGAAACGTGATGGAAAGATAAAGTGCTTTACTTACGTTTTTGACGTTGGGCAATCCATTCAAGGTACCGTTTTTCTTGTGATAACTTTTAACAACTTCAATATCCAGACCTTTGCCAGTCTCGTCAACAAGTCCTCCGTGGCGTTCAGCTATGGCGATTATTCGACCTCCAGCCTTGTGTATAAACTAAAAGAAAAACCTTTATGCACAGGTATACTTTTAAGCTAGCGATTTACCTCGCTTGCATGAAGACCAACGTTTCCCAAACCCTGAACAATAAAAGTTTTGTCTTTTACACCTCGAGTAAGTCCGACTTTGCGTACAAGATCCTGTGGCAAATGCCAGGAGCTGTTATATTGTTGATTGAAAAATCAAAAGCTACCTCGTCATTAAAGAACTCTCTCAAAACAAAAAATGCACCGAGTCCCGTAGCTTCCTGCCTTCCTTGTATTCCCCCCTAGAAGATTAGAAGTTTAGAAGAACAACGAAAATCCAAGTGATCACCTCTGATATTGGTTTTCCGGTCACGCACCCCGAAGCATTTATGTCAGTGTGCCTTAAGAAACTGTATGTGTCCTACAGAATCCAAAAGGACTTTAATCCATGACAGAAAGTAGAAAGCGAAGCCCACCTTAATCCATGCCATCTCCAGCGAACCCGTTCCGTAGTCCGGAGCTGGAACATCCTGAAGACATAGAAGTTTCTTTAGAAGGAGGAACTGAAGGACAGATCATACTATTGCAGGACCCATGTAATTTCTTCTGACAAGCTCGACAGTATAACGCCTTAAAATTGCTTCCTTCTCTGTAGAAGTGTACTTGGAGGGATCTTCCAAATTCAGAAAACACTGTAGGACTTAAAGCGACTATTAGCAGACAACCTACCTATCCTGACGCTGCCTTTGGCACCTCCAAACGGAACATTGACTACTGCGCACTTGTAAGTCATTAACGCCGCAAGAGCCATAGTCTCGTTGGCATCTACATTTGGTCCCAGTCGTATCCCTCCCTTCACTGAAAACAACGGAAATACTCAAACACCTTCTAGCCAGATATTGATTGAAAACCTGGAAGCCTGTGATGCGAATGCTGAGCTCTGTAACCTTCAATAAGCTCCAGTTTCCCACAAGCGCGCTTCAAGGGAACGTGGAACTTGATAATGCTGTTACAGGCCTAAAAAAAAAAGAGGAAACCATTATTCAACAGCAACCATATATCATGTCTACCTTGATGAATGCCAGCAATCCCTTGTCCACGGATGATATCTCTGCAGCTTTGTTGAAGTAATGGTCGACAGAGTCGAGGAATGACAGATCACCTGTTCACAACCTTGAGCCAAAGTTCGTTACTAAAAGACAACAATTCTAGCCATTTGTCGAGTGCGAGTTCCTGAACAGTCTTCCAGCCAACAAAACAGGCCTCTTAAAACTCAACATCCTTCGTTTCTGCTAGCCGCAACCTGCATTCAAAAGATCTCGCTCAAAACAACAGACATGTATGCAAAAACTTACAGCAAGAACGAGAACGAAAGTAAACGAACCGAGGTGCTATGTTGCCGACTTTGCATTTATCTTTATACCAAGAGAGAAGAAAGGAAGCCGACCTGTCCCGTGCAACCTGCGTGAAACTACTGCAAAGCTTTTTTTGCGTGAGTTCATTCCGTATGATTTCTGCAAGCCTCGAACTCGGCACCACCCCCATGGCTCTCTGCATTGTACCAGTGATCATCGCGACTGCATCTTACCGGTACAATAACAACTTGGACGAAGAATTCTCCAAATTATGAAGGTGGAGGATCCAAATCCATCCAATTGTGAGACACAATTGTGGAGATGAATATAATGTCCAAGCTCCGGTGACGTAGATAAGTATAGTTTCTTTCTTCGCCGCAGAAAAAACAGAAAAATCGCTATACCAAAGGGAAAAGGTAAAAGCTTTGGTCTTTCAATTGAACGACCGACATTGCTTCACTTCGAAAATAATTGGGACGCATCTTTTGCATCGGGAAAACCATATATATAGATATGTTGTCAAAAATACTGATATCACCCGAATATCTGATATCTGAACTAAGAGCAGCTTTCAGTACAGTAAGCATTCCCAGACCTCTCATATAGATCAAAGAAAGTCTTAAGATCGAGTCTGCTGCGCAGAGATGTCTGGAAATTTGCACATAATTCTGTTGAGGTACTTAATGATGGTGGAATCTGTAGAGTTCTTGAGTTGCAGAAGGACGCGGAAAAGTTCTAAAGACCGAAGATATTGCCTGCACGGAGCATGTATGCACATATTCCCCACTGAGAATAAGGCAATCTTCAGTGGAGACTCGGCATTGATTTCTTTCGTTCCCGATGACAGAGCTACGGACGAGCAATCAGCTATTACTTGAATCAGAGCCTGGGAATCACAGTCTGCAGTCTTAAGCATCTTAAAAGAAAAAAAAAAGACATTCCTACCTTCATTGCGCCTTGAGAAATAATATCCTCACAAAGCTTGCTCGAATTACGGACTAGGTTGCTGAGAGCGCCTGCGGCATTGGCTTTGGTTTTGTCTTCCTCGTTTCCTAGTAGAAGATTAGTGAGATGCGGGATTGCGCGTCGTAGTTGCTCATACAGTTGATCATTGTGGTAAGCGGCATTCCCAACCTAGGCAAGGGAACATGTAAGCTGAGAACACAACTGGGAATGAGCTTACTGCAAAGCATGCAAACTTTCTTGTATGGCGATCGGGGTCTGCGCACCTGTCTATTAACAGCTTGATAAGGTCGTATGAGACCTGTAAAATAATTAGCAAACTGCCAACGCGAATTTGGAAACCTTACCAAAGCCTCGTAGAAATAAGGTGTATGCCTGCACATGTTGCCCAGAGCACTGCAACACCTGGCACGAACGTTTGAATCCCCATGAACCAGATAAGTCTTAAAAGAGTCCCAAATGCAAGCCTCTCCAATCGGCTCGTAGAAGTCCTGGAACGGCAACATAAGCACGACATAAGACTCGGGAAACGATTATCGAACCTTAGACATTCGCGCAAGATTTGAAACTGTCATCAAGACGTCGAGGACAACGTCCTTCGGACTTGAAGGATCTAGCATCTTCGCCATCAAAAGTGGAGAAAGTAAACCTTCTTTCACAATGTCAATGGCTAGAAGCCTGGAGCTTTGAACCATTCTGGACACAAATGCAACAGGTCTTATCATGTCGTTCATGCTAAGAAACTCCAGGCATCTCACCAAAGGTGATGCGGCGCGACACTGTCGAAACGTATTAGCAAAAACCAGCTATACATCTCCAACCCATACCTCGTGCAGAAGTTGCCAGTACAAAGACATGTTGGCGCTAATAAGTTTGCCAAGATCGGTTTCGTTGGCTTTGCTAGGGGAATTTGCCACCGCAGAGGAGGAAGTTGTAGAACTGCGTGGCGATCCATGACTGCTCTGTGATGAAAATGAGAACTCCAGGATATCTAAGACCCTGTGTACAACTTCCGTAAGACCGGTACTGCCCCCATTGTATCCTTCCCAAACTTGCAGCTGCATTAAGTGCCGCTTCGAAAGCAAGCTCAGTAACGTGAGAAGCGACTCCTTTCGAAGTAATATATCACGATATGCACCTCCAGGTAAACAGAGAGCGAGAGCTGAAATTGAATATAAGACCCCAGAGGGAGATAATCCTGCGCCACCTTCGAAGGCTTCACTTTCCGAGCAGTCATTCGTTGTCTTTGGAGAGCTTCCTAATAGAGATATAAGAATCAGGTGAAGTCCTGCCGTGCAAGCCTGCTCGGAACCGAAGGTTCCCCCACAACTAAGCCTTGAAAGTAAAACTCCCACGTACCCGTCCCTCATTCCATGCCAACTGGTTAGCATACCACCGTTCTTTTTCCATACTCCCCTGTCGTCAACATGGCTTAGAAGGCCCATGGTGCACGGAGAGCTTTCCAAACCATGGCAGCTAATTTCCTTCAAGGAAACGAGCGATAACGTTGCATCCGAGGTCACGGAGGAATTATCCGCGTTTTGTTCCAGCATAAGGATCGCTGCCAGTGCCAAAAATGCAGCAGCTGAGCGAGGTTGCCGTAGAGCTGCTGCACCCTGCTCTAATGAAGCCAGCTGTGTCAGCGCTCCCAGTCTTGCCCGCTGTTTAGGAACTGACGTTGTAAGCATCGATGACAAGCTCAGTCTTCCTTGTGCTGCCAATCCTTGAGCAATAGCCGCAAGTGTGAAAGAAGCATACGAGAGAAGACCGTCAATACCAGAACCTTTGTTGCCACCTTCCTGACTACTCGCCAAATGCACAGATACCATCCTGAATATGGCAGCGACCACAGTGCCGTCACCACCACCTGGAGCTTGATTCGAAGCGCGATCTTTAGCTGAGATACCAGCAAGAACTTCACAGACAATTGGCGAAATTATGCAGCACCTTAAGAGAATCTGAAACAAACAACACATAAGCAAAAACCAAATATCACGGGAAAAGATCAACGCACCTGGAGTGTAGAAGACAACGTGGACTCTGAGCCATGAAGGAGCGAATGACAGAGGCCAGCCTGAACACCTTTAAGTTTACAGATGCTGTCGGTCACCACTTCCATGACGCCATCGGACAACTTATTACTGTCGTTCTTGGCTTCTGTCCAGCCTCTCAGAACTGCAAGTGGAAAACCTTGGGGGTGAGTTTCTTTACCAGTCAAAAGATTTAGGCCGAGAGTCAAGGCCCACATTGCCTTGCATGCTTCTCCGGCAGCAGGTGAAGACGTCCATAAACTAGACATAAGGTTCGACCCCGTGACATTGAGGCAAGAGCAAAGATGATCGGCGATGGAAAGGGATCGAGCCTGTCCCACAATCTGCGTCATGATTTGAACGTCTCCTTTGACGTCTTGTGCAGAACCAAAGAATTTGGAAAGGCCCGATGTAATTCGCATAAGGAGTTGAGCGACACACGCAGTCGACTCGAAGAGTACACGTCCGGACGAGTCATGTTGATATGAAACAGCCTGCAAATTTTGTGTGGTTCAATTTTAAATACATATATTGCTGAATAACTTACTTGAGGATAAAGTCGCAAGAGTGCAACACTGTGGTGTAGGTAAGAACTTTCCATTTTATTGGCACCAATTTCCATAAGCTTGCCTAAAACGCCCAGCCCCTGAAAACGTTGTTACAAATACATACAATGAAACGCAATAGAAAACTTAACCTTTGTAAGCAAGGCTGCATGGTCTGAAATATTCGATCCCAAAGTAGCTCTAGAAAGACCAAGGATCGCCGGTATGGCGTCTTCTACGGCTGCTCTTTGTGATACGGCTCCTGCGCCGAGTAAATTCCACAAGACACGCAATGCTTGATTAGCCCCCGCACTGGCTTGGTCACTATGCAACAACAGTAACGTGTTAAGCTCCCATAGTTGTACTAGTCCCGTACCTCGCTGCAGTTCCTTTACTATTAAAATTTCGAAAAGGATGTAAAACGTGAGCGAAAGCACCTCGGTCCTGGCAAATAGCATTCGCACCTTTGGCAGTGCGAGAAGAAGCTTCTAGCTTATCAAGCACGGAAACTTCTGCAAAAGGACAATGAAAATTTGTTATACCGACAGTAGCCTTACCAGCATTATCGAGAGGAGCTGTGCACGCCTGACTAATATTGTCATCAGATGGACACGGCACTGATTCTGGTCTTTCGGTAGGAGCTGGCTCCACCTTGTCTGTTTGCAGAGTTAAAGCGACTGCATCTGACGCAGACATCATACCTGGTGTTCCCAGGGGTGCACGATCGAGTACATTAGCAGGTGAAGCTAGCACAATATTAGCCTCGCCTTTCCAGGCAGCGTCACACCCTCTTTCGAATGCAGTCGCAGCTCTTGCTTCCTGCATCACATTTGTCAACTCTGAGCTCTTTTAGCAATGTCTTACTCGTGCTGCTATTTCATCAGATGTCTCCCGAACAAAAGGGTGATCCAACAAAGCTGGCCATGTCAGTCTACTTTCAGAAACCTACGCACGCTTTGTCAGATCCTGTGGGTAACCCGGTACAAGAACGAACCTTGTTAAGGAGCCCTTTCAAGAAACTCTTAAAGTTCGAGCTAATAGTATCAGGATATTTGACTGGATCCTGCTCGACAGCGATAGATAAACTTATAACAAAATCGCAACAATTACCTTTACTATATGGCGAATAAGCGTGTATACGGAGTTAGTATAGAAAGGAGGCTGGCCAACATAGAGTTCATACCTGTTTTATGACAATGTGCATTAAATTAAAACAGACATAAAAGGAAAACTTACAATATCACACCAAGAGACCATAAATCTGCCGTGTGGTTGTAAGGCTGCTCACGAACAAGCTCGGGAGCCATGTACAGTGGCGTTCCTGTAATAGCGTCACGGTTTCATGAATGTATAGAACTCTAAAAGACAACCTTTGATCGAGCGAAGAACCATTGTGTTGCAAGACATTGCCCTCGCAAATCCAAAATCGCAGAGCTGATTTCAGCAAAAAATGACATTCAGAAAAGTTCACAAACCAGAAATGTACCTTTACGATGCCACCGGCACCGATCAGTATGTTTTGTGGCTTCATATCCCGGTGGATAATGCGATGAGAATGAAGGTAGTGTAGTGCTCGAACCTACGATACGTATTCAAGAAAAGAAAAGATGGCTTAACATACATACCAGTTGCTTTGCTATCGCCTGGACTTGAGCTTCGGGGAGGCACTTGTCGTCTTCAAGAATCTCAAACAATTCTCCCTAGAAAGAACAATGATAAAAATGTGAGTAACCACACACTAGAAAAGAAAAATGAAAAAATACACCAGAAACAAAAAGAAAATGTTACACTTGCCTGTGCAAATTCTGTCACGACACAAAACTCCTGTGGGCTTTCAAATGCATCCAGCATTTCTATAATGTTCTCGTGCTTTAGTTGCCGCAAAATCTGAAGTAAAATCTTCTTAGAAAAGAAGAAATCTCTCGGAACACGCACTCTACCTCAATCTCTTGCCGCAAATTCTCGATGTCCTTGTCGCTCTTGCCGTGCTTGAGAATAAATTTCATGGCGACAGTCTGGTCGATCGATCGATCAGGGGCAAGCAAGAAAACCAAAATGAACCTGGCCAGTGAACTTGCGCCTTCCCTTGTAGACCTTCCCGAACGATCCCTCGCCGACGAGCTCGATCACATGATAGTTCTCGACGCCCATAGCTCCGCCCTCTCGCCAAAAACCCTATCCAAAAGCCCTAGAGCGGTTTGAAAGATACCCATTTTGAAAATGGAAGATTCGCTTATTCGTTTGAATCGAATGAATTGTGACTGTACAAAGGGCTCAGTGCTTGGGCTGGAGACGATCCATGAGCTTGTCGATCGTCAATGGCTTGCTCACAAACTCATCAAAGCCACTTATCGCGCACTTCACCATATCGCCATCTAAAAACCAGGAAGAAAAAAAGGAGAGATCCTTGGAACTCGAAAGGAGAAAACGAAAATTTCTTCGTACCGCTAACGTTTGATGTAAGCGCAAAAATCACCATCCTCTTTCTCGGGGGTTCTTGCTCGGCCTCCCAATCCCGAAAGTATTGAACCTGTAGAATCGCTGTGAGCTCACAAACTTGAGAAGAGAAAGCGCTAGCACTCACCGCTTTTGTTCCGTCCATCACTGGCATTAGCAAATCCATCAAGACGAGATCGAATTGCGGAGGTATCTCCTTTCCTTCCTCAATATCCTCCGCCTTCACTGGTGCTCCCTCTTGTAATATATCCAAGGCCTCCTTCCCATTGCACGCTACTTTCACGTTACACTTGAGATTCTCCAGAAGCCTCTGTGCTATAGTTCTATTAACTCGGTCATCCTCAACCAGCAAAATCTGCAATTAAAAACACTGACTTGGTTGGCTCTAAACTTAAATGTAGAAAGAATGTCACCTTTTTTCCCCAAAGAAGATCAACCTCTTCGTTAATTTGTTGTGCACTAGCGGGCCTCGAAGAAGCAGCTACTTGGGAGGGAGTACCTGGAACCTTTGGCTTTGATGCTCCACCCTCGTCGTGTACTGCCTTTCCTCTTTTCAGTTTCTCCACGGGCTGTGTTTCGGATCTAGATAAGAAATAAGTTCGACAAACGACTCGTGATACACGATAACAGCCGGCTTAGGAATACAGACCCTGAGAAGCTGAGATGAGATGAGGTGGGCAAATTCATTCCCTGAGACTAAGGAAAACTTAAGTCAGTCTCAACACCTACTAGAAGATGAACAAGGTACCTTGAGCATGACTTGGCTTTCATCAGCCATGTTATCGGGTTCCAAGGAATGTTGGCTTGCGCTGTGCGCTTCAGCATTCTCACCGTTCCCTCTGCTCTTTGAAGGCCTGGTTTGTCTTTCCAAACCGGGCAATAATGCCAGCGGAGAAGCAGGACGAGCGGTGCTGTTCCATCCTCGTGTATTTCCTTCGGCTTCTAACGTGGGCCTTTGGGTGCTAGAAAGCTTCCGGGAGCGAATACTTGGACCACCTTCGGAGTCTGCTGATCTTGTTTTAGTGCTAGACTTGCTTGCTGGCAAGGACAGAGGAAGATCTGATAGAACGTCGAGTGCCTGAGGAGTTCCATTCTGCAAAGACCAAGCCCATTCAGTTAACTTCCTGAATTAGTCCAGCCTTACCAATGCGTTGTTGTTGATGATGTCTTGTTCCACCCAGGCATACCACCTGAAAAGCGAGGACAAACAGTTTTTCTGAACAAGCCGAGGCAGTCAGAAAGGAACTACCTGGTTCCAACAGCACGGCCAGTCGCTTGAACAGTAGCATACGAACGATCCTTTCTAAGCCTTCTATACACTAAAGAAGTTCCAGTTGTTGCACATTCTTTCAACAGCAGCATCTGCAATACCTTAGCATGTAGAAATTCCTTGTGTTAAAAGGATGAAATGAAAAAAAAGGAGCTTACACGCTGCAAAGTCGGAATGTCCTCCGTGTGACAACCATCCCAAGCAGGAACTCCCAAAAGCTCAGAAGCCTTCCAACCAAACGCGCGCTTCACGCTCGGTGAGACATAGCAAATTTGCCACTGAACACGAAAGTGATGAGTAAAACTTTTGAGAAATCGATCACCTGGGAACGCTCGGCCACAAAAACTGTCCACGGGGAAGTCGCGCTTAGCATCAAGATATCTGTAACTAGTGACAGATTCAACCCGTCAACACTCGGTAAGGAAGGATCAAATCCATCTCCAGTTACTCTGAAGCGAGAAAGAAAGCAACCTTTAGTCGCCAGCATTCCAAGTAACTCCGAAACAAAACAAACTGACTGGGCGGAAGCACCACTTACGATTTGGGCGCGATCGAGGGCAAAATCGACGTGATGTCCGTGAAGAGCATTATAAGCTCCTCCAAGCAGCGAATCTCGGCCTGGAGCGCCACAAACTCGGCATCGCTTGGGCCCAATCCTTCCTGGTGGAGTTGCGCGAGATGCTCGTCCAGGTCATGGAAACACTTACGATAGATGCGAAGCCTGTCCGCCGATGTGAGCGACAATCCAGCCGGCCCGACGGCGGTGGAGGACTCCATAGCCCGGCGCCACACAGCATTCTTGAAATACCCTAAATCTCCCTCGCTTGGAAGGAGAAACGATTGGATTTCCCTCGCAAACGGGCGGCCCCGATCGCACCGCGTAACGGTACACCACTGTTTGACTGACCATCCTTTTGACTGAGTCAACCGGTCAAGAACACTTTAAGCATATTCCTTCTTATTTAAAATTTTGGGCTCCTCGAGCCGAGAGAGGCTAGAAGCTGTAGTTCTCGTAACGCATGTAGCACGTCCTCTCGCCGTTCTTGGAGCACATACGCGCGCCAACAGCGAGCGGCGCCACGCTATCGAAATTCGCCCTGATGTCGACCAGGCACTGGACGCAATCGCCGGGCGCCGTGAATCCGCCGAAGCACGCCGAGAAGCCGTAGACGCGATCTGGGTCGACGCCGGCGTTGTAGGAGATCGATCCCTGGCGGAATGTGGCGCCATTGATGATCCGGCGGTAGACGTTGGAGAGATTTCTCTGGAAGGCGCTGCCCGGCTGGGTGTTCCGGGTGTTGTAGTAGACCACGTTGGGGCTGGTGTCGCTGGGGCAATCCGTGAGCTGGGCGCCGCAGTGGTGAATCGCGATGAAGAGGGCGAGGAGGAGAAGCAGCGACGCAGATTTGGTGCTAGAAGCCATTGCTATCACTCTTAGTGGCTGTTAGTGGAGAGAACACTGAGTTATATTGTGTGTGTGTGGCACAGTATTTATACTTGGCACTGGATGTTTCGACTTGACTTTTATGAGCCAGCCCGCAAATTTGGAAGGCGGCAATGGTTAATTAGTGGTGTGACTTTCGCTGGAAGATAAAATTGGAGCTTCTGCCGCATTTCTAGGGTTGAAATGCGGCAGAAGCTCCAATTCTATCTTCCAGCGAAAATGACAATCACAACTTTGGAACGAACTAACAAAGATCAACTCCATCAATGACTAGAAGCTTAATTTATGGTGACGGTCGTGCTACTAATTCTAAACTGAGACTAACTAAGATCAACAAAGCTCAATTACGTTGACTAAAGTCGAATGGTCAACAAAATTGACTATAAAACAATGTATGGTTGAATAGGGATCAAAATCTTGTCAGGAGGCTACCTAGTACACAACTAGGGGCTCTCCAGGCGTGAGATTTCTGGATATGTTACAAGGCAAGTCAAAAATCCTCGCAAGAACGATCTTGAAAACCTTATGTACATTGATGTTGTAAGGAGTGCTGGTGAAGAGCAGTGGCGCGCCCATTGCTTGAGCGTACAGCCGTGCCTACCATTGAAAAAACAAAAAAAAATCGATCTCGGCTATAAAAGCTTGGTGATTTTTACCTGCTTAGTTATGAGAGACTTCAAGCCTTCTGGCATTTTTATGAACTGGTCGAACTTGGTGCCAACTAGAACTGGAATTGCGCCCTGCAAAAGCAATTAAAGTTTTACCCGGATCATCTCTGGCGAGTGTTTATAAGCTTTACCTGGTTACATTGTCGGGCAAGCATAAACCACTGCTTTACACTGTAGAATCAAAACATTGGATCATCAAACTTGCGAGAAACTCTCGAGAGATTTAAGTTCCAAAGGTACCTGTGGAGAGTGGTGCGTCTAGTGAGGTCGAAAAGGATCAAAATCGCTGCTGCGTCATTGCAAACAGCTGGTACCATCGACTTCTTGTAGCCTGAAAGATTTCATCTATCGAATTCCAAGTTCTAGAAAGTGAGCTTCAAATCTCTTGCTTACCTCCGAGCTCCCAAATGCTGAGCGCGATCTTGGCGACATGGATGTCAAGAACTTTGTCCATCGCATTCACGCCGAAAATGCTCTCGTCTCCATTGCTTCTATCTCCGACTACATAGTTTTGCTGGAAAGAACAGTATCAAACACCTGAAAAGAACAAGAAAATCGTCTGAGAAGAGAACTTACCATGAGGCTTGTTTTTCCAGTTTGGCAGTCTCCCACAATGCCAACCTTGACCACCACAGTGTCCTCTCCATACGCGACTTTGAGGCCGCACGATTCGTGCACATCATCCGACGGCTGGGAGGGCTTGGGCGCGTGAGCAGTGGCGTGGGGGAAGATCTCTAGCCGATGGTATGGAATCGACGACGACGAGGAGGAAGAATTCGAGAAAGAGCGAGGCGACCAGCATGCAGTGATCGAGAGCTTGGATTTCTTCCACACCGCGCGGCCGATCCACACTATCCCCCGCTTGAATTCCCTGCCGATGCAATCCGCCGAGACATAGAAACGCGATTGTGGCCAGCGATGGCTAGAGCTCCTGGGCCGGCTCAAGATTCTCCCGCAAACGACCCGCGATCTGTCGTCCAGCAAGCTAATATTCATGGACGCGCATCGATTTCCCCTGTGGATGGAAGAGATAGCAGCAAGAAATTCGAGAAATCCCTTGCGAAATTCCTCCTCGCTGATGTTCTTCGATGCGATCAATCTCCAGAAGGAAGAAGATTGGACCGCGCACGACGCCCAGCGAAGAAAGAGAAAAGAAAAGAGAGAGAACGCGTTGATCGATTGGAACCCTAGGAATCTCCAGAGAAAAACGTGCGTGGAAATGAGAGGTTTGTCAGGCGAGCCCTCCCATCACGGGACGAGCTCAAAGGAAGGAAGGCATGGCCGGCGGGGATATTCCTCTAGCATGTTGGGCATATTCCCCGGTATACCGGTAATGGAATTTTTTTGAATGTGACAATCTAGCCTTTCTTTTTTATCACAAGTCACTATTCTTTACACTCCATTAGCGACGGGGATTTATCACTTTGTCATCTTTAGCTCGTGGAGAACGTCATAGAGATTCTTTCTCGAGAGCTTTTGGAAACACCTCCTTGTCGTCTTCCTGGAACAAACTCTACAGAGAACTTTCGTGATCCTTCATTTAAGATCATCCTGAAGTTCTCTTGGAAGAACTTTCTTAAGTTCTCCTTCCCCTCAAGTTCTCTTGGAAGAACTCTCTCATTCTCTCGAATTTCTTAGTCGCGGAGATCACTCAGTCGCATGATATGGCCGAGTTACCAGTCATGCTAGACACGTCTCAAGATGAAAAGAGAGTAAACAAAGGCTTTAAAGAATAAAAAACGTAACAGCAGTCAAGATTTACCTCCTCTTATCCAACGAAGTCGTGACAGTAGCGATTCGGGCGATTCAACACGGAACTTTTCTTGATAACAATTCAGTGGATGACGAACCATGTACTTCTCTACGACACGGAAATGTCACCATCCTCCCCGCAAGAAAAAAGAATACTAGAAAACTTCATTTCTTACGCAGTTATGGCCGCCAGCCGCCGACTCGTGCACAGCGAGTCATTCATGATCATTGAAGCTCCGTCATTTTCTCTGTACAGAAAATAAACTATGAAAAGTTTGTCCGCCCAGTAGGTGTCTCAAATGGAATAAAAAGCATACCTTTGGAGAGAGAAAAGTTTCTCTGCTATGAGTCCTTCGCTGGCTGCCTACGATTTCCTCAGTAGCTCAATCAATTCCGCCTTTCTCAACCTGCTGTAGCCTCTGAGGCCCCGCGACTTGGCAATGCTGCGAAGCCTTTGGATCGTCAGGATAGACAGGTCCGTTTCATCACTAGAAGCAGTATCATCGTCCGAAAACTCGATATCTGTATCGGCAGCTTTCAAGTTCCCGTCTAGAGTTGCGAGATCATTTCCGTCCTTGAGGAGCTCGCTTGAAACTTTATCCGCTTTCTCTGCCTCTAGCAGCACACCAGCTGGCTCACCGTCCGCAACTCCTACAGCCTCGACCAGGACGCTTTCCTTCTGCCCCAGGATAATTTTGATAGCATCTGTTGGAGTCTCGACGATCACCTCCGTCACCACACTAGTGTCTTCCGTTTGTAATACAGTTTCGTTGGACGACTGTGAGATGGCTTCTACAGAAACGTCGGCCGCCTTTGACTCCTGTTCGGTCTTCTTAGCAGCTTTTCTCTTTCGTCTCCCGCTTCTGGCGTGAGTAATGGGCGACTTCCGGACGAAAGTAGCATGCGGTCTCGACTGAAGCCTGGATTTGTGTTCCTCACTTGCACTTCTGCTGTCGGAGACAGGAGACCCCTTCTCGGATTTGACAGCCGAGTCGTTCGACGAAGTTTTAGAAGACCTTCTTTTCTTGCCACCTTTGCCCGGTGTGATCGGAGACTTCCTGGTGAAAACGGACGTCGGCCTAGGCAATGTGCCATTAGTCGACTTCGACTTGGTTGTCGCCAGATTGTCTTCGAGAAATAGTGCAGCTGAACTAGAAGATTGTTCGGAAGCTCCAACATGCGAGGACCGTGATTTCCTTCGACCTTTGCCAAACGTAATGGGCGACTTGCGAATGAAAGTAGTTGCTGGCCTGGAAAGCCTCGGCGTTTGAGGTTCCCCGGCTTTTGACTCCGTAGTAGTCGTGTCCGAAACCTGCTGGACGGCCGGAAGTTTTGATTTTCCTTTCCCGCTGACAGTGGTACTTTTCTTTGCGTCTGGAATTGGTGACTTGCGAGCAAAGGTGGTCTTCGGCCTGAATAGCTTACTCCTGGCAGCTTCAGTCACTTCTTCTCCTTCAATCTGAACGTCCTTGAACGCCAAAACTGGCACGGAATCGTCCGACGCCACCTCCGAGTGCCTCTTTCGCCTGTGAGAGATCGGTGACTTCTTCGAAAACGTTGATGGCACTCTGACCGGCACCTTTTTCTCAACACTGCTGGGAACCACCAAGGCAAGCTCAGTCCCTGTGTACTTCTTTGTTCTTTTGGTAATGTAAGAAAACTCTTTTGAGTACCGTGATGGCGGGCGTGGTGGTAGCGTCTGAGCTTTGGCGGCGTCCTGAGCCTTGGCGGAAGATCGTGCTGCTGCTGGCGCTCCAAACGAGATCAAGAGGCTCCCATCTGCAAGCTCTGCGAGTTCATAAAGCTGCATGAAAGTTGATACCTTAGTTCGTCTTAGTGTCCTAAGTGCTAGCATGCCAAGGAGAACGATACGAAAGCAGGGAATTGAATACTAACTATGCTATGCAGCAAGGAACTTGATAGAACAGCACGAATCACGAAACGAGAAAGAAAAACTTAGCAATACCATGAAAGAACTTTTGCATTTGCTGGGATGCTTGCTGATGAACATCGCGGCCCCAGGCAAGAAATCGCTTCGCAAGTGTACTGGACGATTTATCTAGGAGCACATTTGCGCGGGTCAGGAACAACGTAGCGCGAACAAAGAGCAAGAGCACAGCGGGAGATTTCGCGCTAGCGAAAAACGAAACAACACTGCTCTAGGACAAGAATGTGAGCTGATCTTACCGCGCATGGAAAGGATTCGCGCTTCGTCTTCGTTGATCGCGCGAACGATGAATCGCCGGCCCCTCCTATGCGCAGACACCGAGCCCGATCGATCGAGCAGCAGGCTGCCATGGCCTCGCACAGCCGGAGGCGACGAGAAGCCAAGCCCTAGCGCCATCGCCATAGCTCTCTCGAAAAAAAAGATGGGCAGACGAGATCCTGTCCGTTGAATACGAAATAGAACCGTCCCGACCGTCGATCTCGCCCTGTTCTTACCAATGAATGGAGCTGTGCGATTGCGTGGAGCTCATACGCTCTTGCAAGACCCTCCCCGACGCCAAAGCCGCGCACGTCAGAATCGCATCGCAATGCGAGCTCCCATCCAGATCTATCGTCTTCCTCTCAAATCTCCTACTCCAAATGTATGGAAAATGCAAGAGCCTGGAGGCCGCTCGCCAGATTTTCGACGCGATCGAGACCAAAGACCTCTACTCCTGGAATCTCATGCTCGCGGCATCTGTCCAGAACAAAGATCTAGCCAGCGCCGAGCAGATCTTCGCCGCGATGCCGGAGTGGGATCTAATCTCCTGGAACACGATTCTCACAGCCTACTCGGAGGACGGCAAGATCCAAGAGGCCAAGAACGCTTTTGATTCCATGCTGGAGAGGGATCTATCATCCTGGAATGCGATCATCAGCGCAAATGCCCGAAATGGGCATCTGGAAGATGCTAAGAATCTCTTCGATTCCATGCCCGAGCGAAACCTAATCTCCTGGAACAGCATCGTGGCGGCGTATGCCCAGAACGGGCATCTAAAAGATGCCGTCAGCCTCTTCCACACGATGCCCCGGCGGGACCTCGTGTCCTGGAACTCCTTGCTCACGGCATATTCCCACGCTGCGCAGCTGGAAGATGCCAGGTCGGTGTTCGATTCCATGCCCCAGCGCAATCTCATCTCCTGGACGGCTATGCTAGCGGCGATCGCGTCACGAGGGGATCTCCGGGACGCTCGCCGCGTCTTCGATCGAATGCCCTGCACGGATCTCTTCGTCTGCAACACGATGCTGCTGCTCTTCTCGGAGAATCGGCTGCCGCGCGAGGCGAGGGAGGTGTTCGATCGAATGCCGGCGAGGGATTCGGCGTCCTGGACCGTGATGCTGTGCATGTACTCGCAGATCGGGCTGCTCGATGAGGCGAGGAAGATCTTCGATCAGATGCCGGAGAAAGATCTCATCTCCTGGACTGCGATGCTCACCGGGTACGCGAGAAATGTGAAGATCCAGCAGGCGCAGTGGATCTTCGACGCGATGCCGGACAGGGATCTCGTCTCCTGGAACGCGATTCTCGTGGTTTATGCCCAGAATGGGCATCTGGAAGAATCTCGCAGCGTCTTTGGAGGAATGCCTCACAAGAACCTTGTCTCCTGGACGACAATGCTGTCGGCGGTCGCACAGACAGGGGATTTCGACCAGACAAAATCTATCTTCGATTCGATGCCGGAGAGAGATCACGTATGCTGGACGGCATTGCTCGCACTGTATGCCCAAAAGGGGCATCTAGCGACCGCCAGGCGATTGTTTGAATCGATGCCCGAGCAAGACGTTGTGTCATGGACCGCGATCCTCGTCGCGTACGCGCAGAGAGGGCAGCCCAGCGACGCAGTGGAGTTCTTCTCGGCGATGGCGGTGGAAGGGATCCAGCCCGATGAGACGTGCTTCACCTGTGTTCTTCACGCGGTGTGCAGCCACACGGGCGACGCCAGGTCCGGGCGGAGCTACTTCGGATCCCTGATCATCGATTTCGGGATGAAGCCGAGCAAGCAGCAGTATGGATGCATGGTCGATCTGCTGGGGCGAGCTGGGCATCTGGTAGACGCCGAGAACTTGATCGCGAGCATGCCCTATCTCCCGGAAGCCCACGACTGGATTTGCTACCTGGGGGCGTGCACGAGCTATAGCAATGTCGATCGAAGCGCCCAAGCGGCGGAGAGAGCGATGGAGCTGCGGCCAGCGGACCCGGTGCCCTACGTTCTCCTCTCTAACACTTGCCGCCAAAGGAAGCAAAACGATTCTGCGAATATGAAAGTCTGAGGTGGCAGCCACCTGTACCCTAATCAGAAATGTTTACGCCCTATCCCACATGCAATGGTGCAAACGCGTGCCAGGGCTTGAGTATATAAAGAGCGGGCTGGGTATGAAGAATTCATACCTTTCTCAGCCTCTTGGCTTAGATCGTGTGTAGTATCCGTTCTTATCAGTTAATAGCTGATATTGGGACCATGTGTTCCAACGCTATTCTCTAATTTTTTTGTGGGAGGGGGGCCACCGGTAGCTTGCTACCGGGCCTTCCGCGTGTCGGGTTGGCCTTACACTAGTGCCTTCCCCGGCACAACCAGCCCAAATTTCAACTCTAAGAAGCATAAAATCCTTGGTATGCTGGGACATCATGCGAATCATGCTCAGCGAATATCCCCAACAGAATTTGCGGTTAATGTTCAGATAATTTGCATTGAAGTTTACAACATATCACCCTCTGGTTTTACAGTCTCTTCCAAAGACCGACACGGGTGTGAACAATCGCACTTCCTGAAATCTTGTAGCCAGACTCACGGGTCACAAAGTCGTGATAGCCTATAACAAATGTTTAACAATGACTGGTGCATGAAGCTTTTGTGCTTGACCTAATTTAAAGATATCATTATTTGAGGAGAAGGCATCTCAGCGTTTGTAGCTCGAGAGAGCATCACCGATGAGGGGATTTGAATTTGGACCCGCCATAACTTCATTTCTGTGTTGTGACAGATAGCAGTAGCCACTCCATCCGAGTGGAGGGACTGCCATGTCACCAAAACTCCGTGGCTGTTCACCCTTGGTTCTCAAACTCAAAATGGTCAAGAGCTCTTGAGTAGCCTTCTCGTCTTCGAGATAGTCAGGCAGACGACCTCGTGCTGAAATTGTTCCTCTTCTCCTCAGGCTCGTGGAGAAGATGTGCAAATACAAGGCTTTGCTGGAGATTATCAATCCAAGGTGAGTGAAGTCTTTGCTTTGCTTATATAACTGTAGCCTGCTCAGGCTTGACTTGGCACATTTGGATGAACTTGGTAATGCGAATCGTGAAGGTTTAGTAGCAATTATGGTTTGCTTTATATTTAAATTTAAGCAGCATTTTATTTTTAAAGTCACCATTTTGTTCTTTGCATGCTAGGAGGACGCTCAATAGAACCAGCTCAGTGGAGAGCCATAGTGGTGAACCAGTTCCCATCATCTTGCCTTGATGCACACATTAATGTAGCTAATTCTCAGCCCCTAAAAAAAGGTGGTGTTTACAAAGATTCCAATAATTCCATTGTGAACTTCAAAACTTAATTTTTGTTTAACTGTTGAGTCGCAAAACTCATTTGCCAAGTCCTTTTTGCATACACTCTATCTTCTTTATTTCTTTGTGCAGTTCCTCAGGCTTGATTGACTCATGTATGAAGTGGTGGATTTCCGAAGCAACCATAGTTACGAAAGAGCTCACGAGCGGTTGCTAACAGCAGATATTGTTTGCAAAGTAAAACTTTCACTCACTTGTATCGTATTTTCTCCAGGCATGGTGGATCGATCCCTTCAACTCAATGCTTCTAGTTGGACTTTCCGCGCCTGGAGAACAATGCGGAGCTACGCTCGGACTGCTCTACTATTTCATTCTTGCGCATCAGGTTCGCTGGTATAGTTAAAGGTCGGGAAAAGTTCTCACAGGAAGGTCTTCGATCAAATGCCGGAGAAGGATCTCACGGGGTACGAGAAATGTGAAGAACAAACATGCGCAGTGGATCTTTGACAAGATGCCCGACAGGGATCTCGTCTCCTGGAACGCAATTCTCGTGGTTTATGGCCAGCATGGGCATCTGGAAAAAGCTCGCAGCGTCTTTGGAGGGATGCCCGACAAGAACCTTATTACTGTCGGCTGTCGCACAAAAAAGTAGTTTCGACCAGACAAAATCTATCTTCGATTAGATGCCGGAGAGATCACATGCTCGACGGCAATGCCCAAAAAGGGCATCTAGTGGAGGCGATTGTTTGAAGCGATGCCCGAGCAAGACGTTTTGTCATGGACGGTGATCCTCGTCGCGTACGCGTAGAGAGGGCAGCCCAATGACGCAGTGGAGTTCTTCTCGGCGATGGCGGCAGCCCGATGAGACATGCTTCACCTGTGTTCTTGGGCGACGCCAGATCAGTCGGATTCCTGGGATGGAAGCCGAGTAAGCAGCAGTATGGATGCATGGTCGATCTGCTGGGCGAGCTGGGCATCTGGTAGACGCCGAGAACTTGATCGCGAGCATGCCCTATCTCCCGGAAGCCCACGACTGGATTTGCTACCTCTACATTCTCTTCTCCAACACTTGCCGCCAAAGCGATTCTGCTGCTGGCGGAATGTCAAGAATCGACCCTATATATGCATATGAGAAAGAACAAACCTTGAGAATCAAGCAATCATGTTATGGCTCGCGATACTGTTGAAAGAAGAATTGCTGTCGACCAAGTGGAAGGTGATTTGTTGCCAACCCGAGCTTCACCCTGGTCGCTTCTTGACATAGATAAATACCTTTCTTTCCTTTCAATCTGTTAGAAGAAGCTCTCGCTGGAGAAGATGTTCATTCTGTCGTATATGCTAAACTCTCTCGGGGAAGTGTGACCAACAAATACAGATGAAGGGATGGTACAACGCATCAGTTTTGCGTTGCCCACTAGGACGCGATCGCGTCGCCGAGGTTCTCCACCGTCGCTATCTGTGAGCCAGGCATGGAGCCATCTACCCACGCCTGGAGACCAAAGCATCAAAGTCGTCCACTCAAATACTTTGTGCTTCTCTTCCACTTTGAACATGTGGGATGGGAATCATGGGATAAGAAAATTGCTCGCAATACATGCAAGACCACAGGAAAGTCTGGATTCCAACTTTGATAATAGATGCCAATTCTGTTGATTACACTCGAGCTGTTGATATGTTCGTGAACAACTCTCCGGACATAAAAAGGCATTTCAGCGGCGCATCACCAATGAGGGGAGTTTGTGGCCATCCTGCTCCTCTTCAGGGAGTCGGAGGAGAAGATGTGCAAATACGAGTCAAGGTGATGGGTGGCATTTGGAGCGAGTTCTAGGCTCATAGCCACCCGTAGGTTACGTATTTGCGTTGCTAAAGAGGGTTGATACCAAAGACCACGCTGTTGATTTTATTCTTGGAAATGAAACTTGTCTACCAGGCCCTTGACGCACACTTCATACAGTCGGAGCAATCATCCTCAGATGCCGGCAGCATGGAGCTCGGTTAGATTAGATTTTGCCAGACCTTCCACAAAGTCCATCGGAGTTGGAACACGATCTCCCGGCTTCGCTTTCCTGTGGTAGACCACAAAGTCGAGAAAGGAAGTGATGTTCGAGTGCTTGCTACGTAGAACCTCGTCCTTGACAAAGACCTCGAGCTTGCTCTCGTACCAAAAGGCTCCGTGAATCCCGAGAACAAGCGGAACGATAACCATGTAGCTGCCACACGTCTCTGCCAGATTTCAAAGCGCATGGCACTAGCACCATGGGGCACTCGGGACTAGGCAGTGGATAGACAACAGCTCGTGTCTTCTCTGATCGGCTGTGTAGAAAAGAAAATCAGAGGAAGCATAGCACACTACTTAGATCTTACAGTTCATGGAGCAAGTATAGAGCTCTCTGCCTCTGTAAGCTTTCGACATAAGACGGGACACGCTCCAAGTATCCCGAGGGTGATTGAAGAACCTGTAAGGCGACCAAATAAAAATGTGAAAATAAAGAGCAACCGAACAGCTTACCACTTCTTCTGCAGCTTCGATAGTCCGAGTGGGATCTTCATCTTCTTCTATGTCAATATCTGCTTCTTCTGCTTCGTTAGGCCGAGTGGCATCTTCCACTTCTGCTTCGATCGCGGTAGTCCGACTGGGATCTTCATTCCTTGCAAGACAATCATCTGCAATAAGAGGCAGGACTTAGAAGTCTACAGAAAAAGAAGAGCGCACGCACAACTAATCTTTCGAAATGCTGCGAATGGAAACGTGGGGCTCCTCTCTAGCCACGGCCTGGAGTGTGTAACACAGAAGTAGACCGCGATGGGAGAGGAAGATGGAATGAGGTGGCCGACGCGTCACCAGGTGGAGCAGGAGCTTACTTTCCTGCAAAGTGGAGAGAAGCTCCTTGAATTCGGTGTTTGTGACATGACGCCACTGCCATGCGCTAGGCTCTCGCTCCGCGTCCGCTTCCAAATCCTCGGGTCCAGTCTATTTCACCGACCCCGGTATAGACAATGACGGCGCCGAGGCTGCTCCGGTAATCCTTTTCCCAATCCGCTGCCTCAACTGGAACGTAGCCTTCTTTGTAGAGTTTGGTCGCCTCGCATTCCACAGCCTCTAGATGATCGGCCTCCTTGATCCTGCTCCGGAGGGTGGCCAGCGAGGTGGCACAGCTCGGCCCATCCGCATAACGTTTCGGTGGTGAGAGAAAATAAGTGCTTCGAATGACTTTGTCGATGATGGTGCGAGGCTTGCGACAAAACAAGGTAGATTTAGTAGAATCCTCGCAGTACCTTTGCCTGGTGGCGATGCTTTATCTGTCATCGGTGCTCAAGGACAACGCTGCCGAACTCAGTGCCTGCGCATCCTCGGCAAGCAGGAAAGAACTTTCAGCTGGAATGGCTTTGGTGGTCTCGGTGGTCACGAGTTCACGCAAGAGAAGGCTAGCATGAAACTCTTCTGGTATGACGAGGAGCGGCGGCTATTCCATATCCTCTGCCCGTATCTGCGATCGCAAGGCGAGCTCTACATCATGGAGCACTTCGAGAAGTTATAAAGCGGGCTGGAGTTTCCAGATATCCAGAAATGGGCCGGAGCTGTCCGGCTCGACTGCAAGCGTGACCGGGGGCCGATAAGCCGATCGGATGGAACGTAGAGGAGCTGGTCATAAGCATGGTACGCTTCCACAAGCGGCTTCTCGGCTACGATCTCAAGCATTGCCGCACACGGGCATGAGAGGATGTGGTTGCGAGTCTCAACGCTCAGCAGCTCTTCGAGGGCGTTCTTCTCGGCCCTGCGTCTTTGAGTGAAGGCAGCACTGGATCTTGTCCTGCTCAAGCTCGAGGAAGATGGCACGCTGAGGATTCTGGCGGTGGAGAACGCAGTCGCTGGCTGGAAGAGAAAACGGAGAATTGGAAGAATGAAGTACTTTCAAAATGGATTCTTTATGCTTTCATAGTGGCAAATATGCCTTTTTCAGGAAACTCAGGGACATACACAGTTAGATTATGTGATGCAATGGGATCACTCAACAGTACAAAACGTGATACAATTGGAGGGAATCAACCATGAGATCGGGAATCAACTGTGCAAAATCAAATCTAGAAAGTACTAACCCACCATGGAGATTTGATCGTTGAAGTGAGATTCGAAACGTTTTTCTAGGATTGAGCAGCAGACTATGAAAAAGTGAAGATAGGTAAATTACACATAAAACATGGAATACTAAATCTTGATCTTTGACGTTCCACTTGCTCGTTACTGATCAACTTCAAAGGTTTGGAGCAGCAGAGAAAGTCTCCACGAACCTCTTGGTGGCCACTGATAAGTATGGTTCTTGATCTTGGAGGTTCCAAGTCCTGATCGTTGACGCCTTTACTCTTGCAAGGACTTCTTCACGCGAAAAGCCCAACTGGAACGTCAAAGATTAAGACTCTTGTACGCATCGCTCTTCTGCAAGAACAATCGTAAAACTCGTCTCAAAACTCTAGAGCTCGTATACCTGACGAATCGAAAAGCTTGTGATCTTGGCCAGCGTGTTGTCTATCACTCGCAGCGTGCTACTCAGCTCGCAAAATGACATCGTCACGTAGTAGTAGCTCAGACCATCGTACTGCGCAGACTCCACCAGGTGAGACGTAAACTTGCAACACGGCATGACATAGACGAGGATCTTGAGCTCCTTGCCTGCAGCTCGAAACAATGCTTCCGCCTTCTCAAGCGTACCATGGTGACGTGACTCTCCATTCCGAGCAACCAAGACCTGGAACGCTACGATCGCGGTACGTACACGCCTGGTTGCAAACGGGCCGAGATCTCTCCCCGGAAAAGCTAAAACGAAGGCACCCCGGCCCTCACGCTGAGACCACTCCCATAGCGGATGTCGAGTTTTTTAAACTTGAGCGCTAGAAGCACGGCCACCTCCGCATTCCAGCCGATTCGTATCGTGTTGTGATCCTCGGCCACCTCCTCGAAAAGGTCGTGTGCTCGACCAACGTCGTGCTCCTCTATCACAGCCGCCATCTGTTTGGAGCAGAACGACCGCAGCTCGTCCGTGATGCATTCCAGCGTTACCATCCTCACCGACATACAAATACTTGCTGTCCACAACATGGTTAAATGGTAGGAGCTTTCTCACCCCTGCTAGATCTTCCACTAGACTGTCGTTTCCGGTGCTCGTGTTTGAGAGGTTTCTAGCAAAAAACTTGGTAACCTCGGCCTCCAACGTTGTACAAGAGTAGCAACTTCGGATTTGTCCCAGGCCTGGATAAGTCCCCCTTTGTCAAGTCGATCTTGAATAATTTACAAAACGTATTCATTCTAGAAAGAGAGCTCGATCATACCTTGCATGAGAACTCAATCACACACATACCTTGAGACCCTACGATCATGAAGTTGTGAATTTTATGATGCCGGATTACGTTCATCCAGTCGCTAGACAAGGAAGCGCAGTAAACAAGCGCGCATGTAGGCACCAAACTGGCCAGGAAATACGCAGTGTCGCTTGAAGCGGAGATGTTCTCGCCATCGTCCACCACATAGTATACCGCAGACGAGACTCTCGTAGAAACGAGTCCAAGACTTGAGAAGAGCCAGCTCCTCGGAATCCCCATCGCGATCACAGGCTGCTTGGATAGCCGCGGCTACAGCCCTCTACGGGTTTGCCATCGCTCGACACAAACGCAATGCGCCTTGTCACTGGCTTCTCGGCCGCGTACGTAGCAACTGGACAAGAACTTGGCGGCCACGAACACGCTTGTAGATTTTCCCGGGAGGCCCGACTATGAAGCGAATACCGTGAAATCCCACTTCATCCAAGAGTGTAGTTCCCTCTGGGGGATCGCCGAAAATACATTCCACCAGGATTGGCACTTTGACGTCTATGAAATCCACGATCTTGGCGGTGAGGGATCGTCCAATGTGAAGCACTCCCTAGACAAACTTTCATCAGCCTCCATAAACCCTAAACCCTTGGTATACTTTTAAAATCTCTTTAAACCCTTTACGTGAGGTTTTTCCACTGGCGCGCTTCTTGCGGAAGAACCTCTTGGTTCTCGAGAACCACGGCCTGGGCGACTTTGCTTCCCAGCCACGCGTGGTATACCAGGCCCCTGGAACCAAGCCCTCCAAAAATCCACAAGCGAGGAGGCCGGCATTTGCCATTCCTTGCTGGTGACTCCAAAGTTCTCACATCACCATCCAGGCTTCCAACCAAAGGGATCGCTCCCAGATCACCATATCGCGGTGGCAACGCTCGGATGCCTTCTCGCAAGCCAGTTACTTCCCACTGTGAGATGCCGGGATAAAGCTGCCTGGCTTTCTGGTAAAGCTCTTCCAGGGCTGACAAATCTTGTGCTCTTGGCGATGGGGAGATGAAGGCCTCTTTCGTGGCTCCAAGCAGCAGCCTTCTCTTTCCCTGGAATGCCAACCATGATCGGGACAAAACACTAGGTGCCGTGCCATTGAACTGTTCACTGACAAAGCAAAGGTGTTCTTCAGTATGGTCGACGAGAAAAAAGTGCTTTTTTTTTCACCTCCTTTTCTCTGGCAGCTCCATTTGTGCTACGACTCCTCGGCACGGCGTAAGTGGTAACTTTCCCTGGAGTTCTGGTAGCAATGGAGCTTGAGCGCCCAGGCAAAGTACCACAGCGTCGTAATCTTCGAGAAAAAAGAGATGTTCCTGTTAGAATCGACCGAAGCTACTGTTACTTCCTACCTGAGAGATCGCAGATACTGGCGATGCGACGCTTGTGAAGTGATGCTTTCGTTCCAGGGCAGCCTGACATTCGCGCGGAGTTTGCGAACGAGAGGCATGCTTTCCACAGTGCCTGTGAGATTCGAAACTTTGCTCTGTAGTTCTAAGGAGAAACGAAGGTAACTTACTTCCAGGTAGCGCTTTGGATCGATGTTTATTCCCGCGCGGATGTGCAACGCAAGGAGATCGTCTTGCATGAAAAGCCCTGGAAGTAGTTCTTTGGCCTCTCTTGCGGTGAGAATTCTTGGCGCTCCAGCGCTACCATTGCTGCAATCCACATTCTAGTGAAAACAAATCGACCAAGTGATAGAAAAAAAATAAAAATTCTTGAGGAACTTTAGCCAACCTTTCGGAAGTTCCGGGTGTGCTTCTCGCAAAGAGCAGGTCTTAAGATCCCCCTATAGACGCGCAAACTTTCAGAGAAGTTTCATACGAACAAAGAAATAATTGTTCTAACCTTTTCCATGAGATTGGCTCATCGTCTTCTGGGACCATCGACTCGGCAACAGCCACCAAATCCAGCGATGCTCGAAATCCTTCGGCACCTTTCCAGAGTAATTTTCCTGGCAAGAGAGCAGCAAATCTTCAGGACAAAACACGAAAGAAACTCTCAAACCTGTTGGAGAAAATGGATGGAGCAATCCTCCGGACGCACCGGACGCTCCAGCGGCAATGCCTCTCTCATCAAAGAGCTCAACACTGACTGACACGGATGGATTCGTGAACTGCGCGAAAGTAAAAACCAAAAAGAAAACCTCTACGGAAACGCGTGATCGATCAACGATCATTGCCGAGAAAAAGAACCTGTAAGAGATGCCAGGCCACGGAAACACCAGCAAATCCTGCTCCAGCCACAGCATACCTGAAAAAAAAAGTTTTAAAAATCGCATCTTTTCGCCGAGCATTTGCCTCACCTGCGCATTCTCGGCTGCGCATTGATGGATTTCGTCTCCGCCATAGCCTCCATCAATCCATCAATCCGCTAGGATTTTCACTCGTTACTTAGCGAATTAAGCATTCTTAATTCCACAGCTTAGCGCCTGTAGCTCAGCGGATAGAGCGTCTGTTTCCTAAGCAGAAAGTCGCAGGTCCGATCCCTGCCTGGCGCGCATGTCCTTCCTTTTGTTTTTCCTTTTGGTAGTTTCTATCATTAACTAATAATTTAAATTTACGCCTGTTATCTTAAACTTTTTAAATTTTGACACTTTAAAAGATAATAATAGCTTTTTCCTTTTCGTATATTACTAATTAATAATATAAAATCAAATGGAAATCCTGAGCAGAGCGTACATTGATCTTGGATCAGATGGACTACTGACTTCGAGATCAGACCAAAGTTGTTTCTTTTTTACCGCTGGGGGCGTAATTTTATAAGAGATTCACTTCATTTAGGCTTGCACCCACCTTGCATTTGCCATGTGGTTTAAAGTCAACTTTTGTGCCAAGAACATGAGGTCTGATTTGATGCCCCTGCATGTGCACACTTTGATTCTCCTTCAGGCCTCAGGTTAGAAAACTCACCTGCCTTTTGTAAATTGCAAGCAAGTAGATATTGCAGAGTTTAGTAGACCAAATTGCAGGATCAGAGCAACCCCTCCCCCCAACTTATCAAATCCTAATCCTTGTGGTGTCAATGAGTGACTTGCAGTTCTCTCTTGTACGGAATGATCGTTCTTCACACAACATCGGCCACCTTTTCTTAAATTTCTTTTGTTTCCTACCATGCTTGTTTCTACTGCCCCCCCTATGCTATGTGGTGTGGTATGCAAATGCAGCGACTCTCATAAAGTTTTTTTGCTCCTCTCTGGCAGTACTGAGCATTGCTGAACAAACTTTGGCAATCTTTGGCATTGTAAAGAAATAAAACTAGGAATTCACCTATAGTTGTGTCAGCGTATGAGCAAAGCTTTGAAACTTAGCGGCTGGTAAACATTAGAAAAGATTTTAAAGCTCCGCAAAGCATCAAAACGTGTTAAGTTGTCACAACCCAAGAGTTGTTACCCACCGTGCCATGTCGTTTGTGTTGAGTTTGTGGTTTCTTTTCTAAGACCAGTGGAAGTTCGAGAGATTCGATTGATATATACCGAGAGAGAGGGTTTCGAAGTGTTTTCAAGGGTTGGCCACCGTTGGAACGTCAAAATTATCACGCAACAATACGCTCAAGGTCTCAAGTACGTATGAGAGAGAGAGAGAGAGAGAGAGAGATTCTGGAAATTTGGCGGTGGGAAGTCGCAAGTCGAGACTTTGGAAAGTTGTGTTCTTCGACCAAACGCTCTGAAATGTCTCCTCCAGTGGTTTCTCCACTGAAAAGGAGGAGGTTCCGGGAATTTTAAGGCATCCCTGGCGGCATCTTTTATTTTTACTAAGCCAGACCCGCCCGCCAGCCAGCCAGCAAATGGATGGAGCAACGCTACTTGTCATGGGATGGCTGTCGAGCACCTAACTTCTTATAGTAAAATGTTAGAAAAAAACACACACATAAAAAAAAAAAACAAGTAAAAGCCACACTCCCGGACATTCTGATGCCCGGCCACATTCCGCCCCGGAATGTCCACCGCGAGGTGCGGCGGCGGTGTGCGGTGGTGGTCAGTCACGTTCGCGGCACGTTGGGGCGGCTGTCCGACCGGCCGACACGGCGGTGAAGGCATCCCCACCGTCGGATTGTCCACGTGTCGGGGATCCGGCGACGCGGGAATCTCCGTCGGCTGGAAGCGAGAAAGTGGCTGGCACTGCGCGCCAGACCACGTTAGCTCTAAAAGAAACAAAAAGAAAAAATTTAGAAAAGGGGGAAAATAAAGCCAGGAAAATAGAAAAGAAAGAGGATAAAAAAAAGGTGGAGGTGGAGGAGGAATTCCTTTAATTTTTGCGCTAACATAACAAGATCTCTGTTCCCACCTGTCATGCCTTAAAAGGAAGAATTGTTGGGCTGTTATGCTAAACAGTTACAGGATCACCGCGGAGAAATGGACGAAAAAATCAAGCAAAGAAAGAATTTTTGGAGAGAAGGCGAGAGGTTCTTAGCGGCGAATGATCGATCAAGCTAGCGTTAAGTAGTTTAAAAATCTCACCAAAAAAATTCCAAAAAAAAGCTTTAGTGCTTTTTTTTTCTCGCTCTCCAGGCTAGAGTGTAGCTAATAAGCGTAACAGCTTCTTTGTGTCAGTGGTGGTAGTGTAGTAGTAGTGCCCAAAGCCTTTTTTTTCCCTAAAATCACACAAGGGAGAGAATGGAGGAGGAGAGGCGAGAGTAGAAAGAGCTTTCTTTCTTTCCTTTGTTTCTATCATCTTTGTGGAGGAAGCGTGAGCTTTAAGCTCACAGAAAGGAGGAATCGATCAATCGAGAGGAGCAAGAGAACCAACAAAGCGTAGAGAAGAAAGAAGAAGAAGAAGAAGAAGAAAGAAGAAGAAGTGGTTTTTGGGGGTTTTGGGAGGAGATTAGCGTTGTCCGGGAGCTACTTGTCAGCTTGCTGCTCGAGCTCGCTTCATTGGGTCTCTCCCTTCTTATATTCTTTTCCTCGCTCGCTATACTTGCCAATCGATTCCATCGATTTGCGAGGAGCCACTGTTGTGGGCGGCTCCAATTCGGGCGCCTCGCCTTGTGGGCGGCTCTCGATTCGGCGCCTCTTGGATTGGATGAGCTGCATTCCTGTGCCCAGCTGCGAATTCCAGCCGCAGGCCATCGCCCACCAATCGATCGAGGAGATATTCCCCTTCGTCCTTCTCTTCTCTCTCTTCTCTCATCGTCACCACCACCACCACCACCACGCGCTGGGACGCGCGACTTCGTCAAAGCCAGTCGCTGAAAATTTCTATGCCGTGGTGGAGTGACTCTTCGCCTCGATCGTCTCCCATCGCCGTGTCCCCTTGATCGAAACAAATCGAGCGTGAGTGAGCGTGTGCGTGTGTGTGTGAGAGACAGAGAGAGCTCTAGCGAGAACTTCTTCTTCCTTACCTAACAAGGTTTCTTCCGTGTGAGCGAATTCCATCGCCCAATTCCTTGCCGAATTGGGCGCCTGGGAATTCGAGAGAGGAAAGGAGCGCTAGCGGTGGGGGAGAGCGCGCGGCGCTCGGGTTTTGCGGGGTTTATCGCGGTCGCCATAGCGAAGCTTTGGAGGTAAATGGAGGTACTGAGCAGCAGGCACGCCAATTTCATCGATCTCGACTGTAGCTTCAAGCTCGGGGTGGAGGTTTTCCGCGTGGACGATCTCCTCGACTTCACCAACGAGGAGATTTCCGGCCCCATTGCCAACTTTAGCAGCAGCAAGAACGCTTCCACTGTTACCGCTTCCTCGGCCGCCATCGCCAAAAGCTCCACCACCATCGCCAAGGTGGAAGAAGGCGATGAAGAAGAGGATGGTCTGGTCAATGCCGCGGCGGCGGCGGCGGAGGAAGGAGGCGATCGGCAGCACAAGGAGGAGGAGGAGGAGGAGGAGCTCGATCCGGGGGAATTAGAAATCGCGGACTTGGACGTCGGGAGCAAGGAGGAGCTGGAGCTCATCGGCATGCATGTAAGTCTCTCCTTTTTTTTCTCTTGCTTTTCTTCCTCTTTTCTCTCTCGCCCAGCTCCATCTCCATCGCTCGCTCCTTTTCATTCATTCGCTCGCTCGTTGCGCGCTCCCCATTCATTCAATTCCCGGGTCATTCACTCATTCACTCACTCACTCACTCACTCACACCACTCGCTCGTTTGGTTTCGCGTTGGTTTGTTTGTGAATCGTGGTCTTCTCTTCTTCGTTTCTGGTGGTGTTCTTGGTGGTGGCGTTTCGTTTCATTCGTTTTGCTCCTATCCGGATTGGTTCTCTGGACCGGCAGTGGAAAAAGAGAGCGAGAGAGAAATGGTGTGCTTGCTTGACTGTTTGTGTGCGATATAACAAGAGAGTGGTGTGAGTAGTGTGTGAGTTTGTGTGTGAGTGTGAGAGAGTGGTGTAACATACATGACATCTTTCGTTACTGGAGCCATTTAAAGCCACCTCTCCTGGCCGAAAATTTATTGCTCTTGTTGAAGCCATGCCATGCCTTCACTCTTTCCACTTTTCTTCTTTCTTTTTTCTCCTGGAGTTTTTCTTTTTAAGCATTTTTTTTTTCCCATTCTTTTTTCTGCTGCTATGATAAAATACGAAAGCTAACTTAATTTCTTGTTCTTCCAGTGTGACGAGATCCCGGAGCTTGGATGGCTCACGAACTTTGTGGACGACTCGTCGTCGATCGAGGACGCGGTCCACGCCGCCGCCGCGGAGGAGGCCAAGTTCTCGCCATCGCCGGCGTCCACTTATCCGTTCAAGAGCTCGCTGCGCGACCACCACCACCACAGTTCTTACGTGATCCCGGCCTCGTCCGAGCCGGCGCAGCTCGAGTCGAGCTCCACCACCGCGTCTTGGATCACCGATGATCACAACAAAGCTTCTTATAACGCCGGGATTGCGCACCACCGCCGCCACCTTGAGCAGCAGCAGGATCGTCAGCCTCGCTCCAAGCGATCGAGGACTAAGGCTTGGGCGACGACCACGTCCTCGGTGCCTCCTCGAGCTCCAAGCAGCTCGAATTGTACCACGGCGAGCGAGGATGAGGAGGAGGAGGAGGAAGAGGAGGAAGAAGAGGAGGAGGAGGAGGAGGAGGACGATGACAACAACTCAAACTTCTCCACCGACGATGAGCTCGACGGCTCGTCGTCGCTGCTGGACGACGAGACGACGACGAGCAACAACCGGAAGAAGATCCACTGCTGCTCCTCGTCCTTCTCGGCGGACAGCGGCCGCTTCTACAGCCTCCACGACGACGACTACGAGCTGGAGCTCAAGAACTCGCGCCGCCCGCCAAAGAAGAAGTCCAAGACCAACAACAGCAACAGCGCCGCCACCACCTCGGGCAAGAACAGTGGCATTACCGGGACTTCCAAGAACTTTGGAGGGGGTGGCGGCGGGAGCGCGGCGGCCAAGAGGGGCCTTCCGGATCCAAACCAGCCACTCCAAAAGTGCCTCCACTGTGGGAGCCAGAAGACCCCGCAGTGGAGGACGGGGCCACTGGGACCAAAGACGCTGTGCAATGCGTGTGGCGTGAGGTTTAAGTCCGGGAGATTGTTCCCGGAGTATAGGCCGGCGGCGAGCCCGAGCTTCGTGCCGCAAAAGCACTCCAATTCTCACAAGAAGGTGCTGGAGATGCGCCGCCAAAGGGAGCCAACCGCGACCGCTACCACGACTGGTACCGCGACTGTTACCGCGACTGCTACCACGACTACGGATGATGACGAAGAGGAAGAAGGCCGACGATTTTGAGAGCGAGCGAGTTTGCTTCTTTGCAAGGTATCTCTTTGTTTCTTTGTTTCTTTAGAGCTGGAGAGATCTTAGTAGTTTTCTAGAGTTCATTGGAGCTTTTAGTTCTCTTATTGGAGGGAGGAGAGAGTGAGAGGGTGTTAGGCCAGTTTTGGGATCTTTTGTGTCATTCGTTTTCATTCATTCATTCGTTTCTTGGTGGGAAGTCTCTTGTACGGAATGATTATGCCGCAAGATATTCCCGCGATTTAAAATGTCGGAATCGGAGATTTTGTGGACAGGAGAACGAACAGTTGGGTAGGCCAGCACTGTATAATTTCATCTCTCACATTTTTCGAAGTGTTTTTTTTATCACCACTGGTTGCGCGTACGAGCACAGCATAGTTTGGTAGAGATTGATCTTCACAAACATTTTTTTAGATTTGTTGCAACACATCTTTCCGGCACACAGGAATCAACATCTGATTTGATTCCACAAAGAAAGGTGGCTCATCAGTCCCTGACCAAGAAGGAAAAAAAGGAAGAAAACGTTCAAAGCTTTCACACTCTTAAACATACTTTGCGTTCTCTCTTGTGGCTGGCTGCTGGGACGCAATTCAATCGCCTTGACTTGGAAGCCTTTTGGAAAAAAAAGCTAGGAAAGATTAAAAATGTATCATATCACAAGAGACAACAGCGCGAGCTACTTGCACGAAAAGGAAAGAAAAACTGGAAACAAAAGCCACAAACCTCCAACCCAGGCTGAATCACATGTTGGATTTGGACTGAAGTTGAGCCGCGATTCGCTGGCCGAGGGACTTATCGCACTGCACGCGTTAAGCAGAAAGACAATTAGCATGCCGTCCACTATCGAGACGGTCGAAGGATAAAAAAGAAAGGATAAGAAAACAAGCTACGTACCTGGGACCAATACGAAATCCACACACTGCGTATTTCATGAGTAACGCGTGAATCGGATAGAGCGTCCACCCAATTCTCAATGAACCTCTCTTGCCTGCCAAGCAAAGACAGTCAGTGTAACACAAAAGTTAGGAAACTTTGCTTTGCACGACCACCAGATCCTCAAGCGAGTGAGAGAGAGAAAGAGAGAGAAAGAGCGAGAGAAGGAAGGAAAAAAAAAAGAAAAATGGAAGAAAAACATGGGCAGAAGTTTTTGCACGACATTGCTCGCTCACCTGTCAGCTGGCCATGATCTGTACCTCACGCCAGGTTGTGCGAAATTGTTCTCTTTTTCCAGCATCACCTGTGCACGCACCGGTCAAGACTTTGAAGCTGGCATCCAGGCTTAAACAAGCCAAAGCTTTTCTCTACCTTTTCTCGGCGGCCACTCACAGGACGTGAGGGAATCGGGACTTGCTCGGCGTGGCGAACTGCGTCGAATCGTGATGGAAAATAGTTCACCTGTGTTTGACAGTTCACGACGAGTGGTTAGAAAAATCAAAAGACAGAACGAGTACAAATCATTAAAAAAAGCTCAAACAAAGAAAAAACTGGAGAACATTCCACCACCATACCTCCTCATCCCTGTGCATGAAGTTCATAAAGCCTTCGTGATGATTATTGTGATGTGCGCACTTGGGTGCATTTGCAGGCAGCATGAGATAGTTCGGTCCAAGTCGGTGCCGCTGCGTGTCGGCGTATGAGAAGATTCTAGTCTGGAGCATCTTGTCGTCGGTATAGTAGACGCCAGGGACGATGAGCGCCGGACAAAACGCAAGCTGCTCGTTCTCCGCGAAGAAGTTGTCAATGTTTTTGTTGAGCACCATGCGGCCAACCGGTTGGAGCGGGAACATTTCCTCCGGCCAAGTCTTCGTAACGTCGAGCGGATCAAAGTCGAACATCTCCTCGTTGGAGGGGTTCATAGTCTGAATGAACAGCTTCCACTCTGGATAGTTTCCGGCCGCGATGGAGTCGTAGAGATCCTTGGTTGCATGGCTGTGATTAGAGCCGCCGACGACCACAGCCTCTTGCTTGCTCAGATACTTTAGTCCGCAAGTTGGCTTCCAGTGGAACTTGACATACGTACACTTGCCGGCGCGATTGACCAGAGTGAACGTGTGTACCCCGAAGCCTTCCATGTGACGGTAATTGAGAGGAATTCCGTGGTCGTCGAAGAGAAAAGTAAACATGTGACAGCTCTCCGGATGATGCGAGAAGTGGTCCATAATGCGCCAAGGCTCTTGAACATGCGTCTTTGGGTTTGGCTTGAGAGCGTGGATCATGTCAGGGAACTTGATGCCATCACGTACGAAGAACACGGGAATGTTGTTTCCAACCAGATCGAAGTTTCCCTGCTCGCAAACAAAGCGAAAAAAGTCAAAGATGGAATTTCGTGTCCAACTTAGCAACATCACCAGATAGTTTACTCACCTCCCGCGTGTAGAATTTGACGGCAAAGCCTCTGGGATCACGGAGTGTCTCGGGGCTTCCACGTTCGTGAATGACGGTGGAGAACCTCACAATCAGCGGTGTCTGGACTCCAGGTGCACGCAGGAAATCCGCGCAGGTGAGGTTTGAGATGTCGTGGGTGACTTCAAAGTAACCCTTTGCACTTGCTCCACGCGCATGGACGACGCGCTCGGGAATGCGTTCCCTGTCAAACTGAGCAAGCTTCTCGATCAAGTGATAATCTTCCAGCAGAATAGGCCCTGATAAAACACCATGTGAGAGATCGTTGAGAAAAAAAAAATTAAACGCTTACAAGAAAGAAAGAACACTATCATAACGTACCTCGTGACCCAACTGTCAAAGAGGAATTGTTGTTCCAGACGGGAGTGCCAGAGTTTGTGGTGAAAAAAGAAGAATTGAAAGCGCTTGATGGAGTGTGCTGGAAAGACGAAGAAGATTAGAGCACTAAACGTGGGGGGAAAAAAAAAGAAAAAAAAAGGAGAACTAATACCTTGTAAGGATCCATAGCTTTGCTATCAAGAAAATAAAGAAGGAATCATCAAGAACAGCTAAACGGACATGTACCTCAAGGAAAGAAAGCGAAGCCTCCACACTGCCAAGCCAAGGAACCCTCAAAAAATTATACTTATGTCCCGGCTCTCCACGTGTTGCCTCCGGAGTCGAGTTTTCCCATTTGGGACCCTGCCATCCTTCTCCTTATCTGATTAAGTTGGCTGAGCGAGAAAAAATGTAAAAAAAGGAGTCAGTGTTGATTGAACACGATTAACTTCTCCACAGAAAGATTTTGCCACCGGCAGTGCCACCGGCCAGAACTCCAGGTAAAAGAGGATGCCGTGCCAGTCTCGAAGGTATGGAAGTCATTTCCTCGCTTCGAAGCGATGCAACCAGTTTGTTCTCGCGAGTGGATATCACATCGATGGCTCTGCTCATGTTTGCAATGTAGACGTAGTTGTCACTCCAGCTCCAAATTGCCCTGCAACGCAATTTAAATCCGCATTTCGAGATTTTTACTCAAAAGGTTTCCCACCTGAACGTCGCAATCCAGCGGTTTGTCTGATTGTTGTGGCTGATCATGACGGGATCGTCATTGTGCTTTCCACTCCAGAGGCCTACGTGATCGTCATAACTGCGGGGATCGAGTAACTCAGCCATAAAGGCAACTTTAAAACGTTTTGAGTATTTACCTGGTCGAAGCCAGTTGATCTCCCGATGGTGAGAAGTATGCCGAGTGCACGGCTTTTCCGTGGGTCATGGTTGCCAGGTTCCTCTTTGTGACGCGGACGTCCCACAGGGAGACTGTTCCATCTCCGGAACTTGTAGCAACCTGGTGAGGCCGCTGCGGCGTAGAGTCTATGGAGTGAATGCGTCTCTCGTGCAGCTTCCAGTGTGACGCTACCGTGGAGCTTCTTGCATCCACTAGTTTCATATCTCCTTCGTAGTCACCAATGGAAATAACGTGCGTGCTCTCTGCGAGATAGCTCATGGCACTTAAGGACTCGTCAGATAAAAACACTCTGCTGAAAGCCGCTTTGTCAATGTCCATGAGGAGGACAGAACCATCACAGCTGCAAGTCGCAATCTACAAAGGCAAAGGCGCTGTTAGAAAAAAAAAGGGGGGGGGGGGGGGGGGGGGGGGGGGGGAGGGGGGAGTAAAATAATGTATTCCATAACTCACCTGTGTAAAGCTCGCAGGTGCGCTTGCTATTGCTGTAACAGGTATCCTGTGAGGCCGATAAATGTGGACAACACTTTCGTCACTCTCCTCGTTGTAATCAGCATCCCAGAGGCCGATATTTCCCGCTCTGTCCCCGGCAGCCACCACCAGCTTTGAACTCAGAGGAAGGAGAATCAGGCTGAGAATTTTCTCCGGCACAATCCTCACGACGTCCTTCTCAGCGAGTTTCAAAGATAGCGGCTCAAAGTCGTCCTTTGGTCGCTGGTCCTCCGAGTTTACCAAACACTCGCCTTTTACTGCCTCGCCAATGCGAGCACGCACTGAATCATCTGAGAGCTCGTCGTTGACACGAACGTCAGAGAAGGAAACAGGCTTCTCCCAGTTAAGTTTGTCAAGCTTCTCTGGCTCTGGCACCACTTTGGCATCGGAAAGTTCGTCCTTGAGAGGCCCGACCTCTGGAGAGATTCCTCGAGTACGCAGTGACCTCCGAATTACAAGCGGCTGTTCATCTCTGGGCCTCTTCTTCTCAGATTTATACCCTTTGGGTTTTCTCTTTTGCTGCTCCCTGGAAACAGCATGCGTCGAGTGAATATAGAATCAAACAAGAAAAAAAATCCTGTCTTTTGGAAGAAAATCTTAAACAAACAACACAAATGCGGCAGACAAGCAAGAAAATGCTCGTGGAGTGAATATGGAATCAAAAAAGAAGAAATCCTCTTTTTTACTTTAGCTATCTTTTGGAAACAAAAAATGAAATCTCAAACGAACAACACAAATGCGGCAGAAGAGATCAAAGCACAAGGATTCAAGAAAATGCTCCCCATGCGTCGCGTGAATATAGAATCCAAAAAGAAAATATCCTTTTTTTTGCTTTCGCTATCTTTTGGAAACAAAAGAATGAAACTCTCAAACAAACAACACAAATGCCGCAGAAAAGACCAAAGCACAAGGATTCAAGAAAACCACGCGACAGCATTGCGATCGCTGAAGGAAAATTTCTAAATCTCCACTCATCGGCTAGAGAACTAGGGTAAGACGAAAGAACCTGATTGGAATCTGGAGAAACTTGGCCGCCTCATGGATCCCCAGCTCCGCGAGCTTCTCGGCGTTCCTCGCCATGTTCTCGGCCCTCTTGCGCGCATAGTCGGACATTCTTGGATCAGCCATAGCCACCGCCGCTAGGGCTCAAGAAGCAATTTAAACTTGGCGCCAAACTTCCCGCCAATGAAAACGCTCCATTTGTGTGGCCCTAAATGATGGCTCACCCGCTATCGTCAGCGATGTGCTTGCAATCATATCTTCCTTTCCAGAAGGAGCTCGACAATGGATCGCCATTTCCACTGGTTCTAACGCCGGCGAATGGATCGCCCAAGGGCGCTGGAGCTCTCGCCAGCGCCCTGCGAATCCAGGAGCAGCGATCGCAGCTGGAGGAGTGGCTGATCAGGAGCGGCGCGATTTTGCTGCGAGGATTCGACGTAGGGACGGGGCAGGAGTTTGATTCGATCATCGATGCCCTGGGATGGGAGGAGTACAACTACTTGGAGCTCGGTGGACTGGCCAATCGAAAGAGGGTCCATGGAAAGGTTCTCACCGCCAATGATCTTCCCCTGGATTGGTACGTTGGTTACCACAACGAGGCAGCCTACGTAAGCTAGTTCATCTCTTTGTTTGTTCTTGGATCTCAAATAGCGCTTTGTTTGTGTTCTTAGCTCACGAAATTCCCTTCAAAGCTTGCATTTTTCGCTGCGAAGCCTCCGGAGCCTGGGACTGGAGGAGCCACTCCGATCGTTCCAGGGTACGTCGTGTACAAGCGAGTTCTTGAGAGAAAACACTTGGCCGAGCAACTTCTCGACAAAGGCCCTGTTGTAACTCGCTCCTATCTCAGCGACAAAGCTTTGAGAACCCAGGGCAGGCAAACCGTCGAGACCAGGCAAGCAAATTCTTTCTCAACTTTCCACAAGATTGCGATACTTTAATGCCCTGCGAGGTCTGACTTTCTTGTTCTAGAGCCATGAAGCAGAACATGACTCTAACTTGGCTCCCCGAAGGCGGCGCGATTCTCGAGAGCAAGCCCTTGCAGCCATTGTTTAAAAAAGATAGTGCTGGAAGGATGGCGATCTTCACCAGCATCGGATCGTACGTAGAGTTCCGCAAGATGAAGGAGGACTTTCCGAAGATGACGATCAGGTTTGAGGATGGAACGGTGCTCCCTGATGAAACCGCCGACGAACTGGTGGAGATAATGCTCGAGGAAGAGGTGGCGTTTCCATGGGAGAAAGGTGACATTCTTCTGGTGGACAACTCTGCTGTTCTACACTCGAGGCAGAAATGCACGTCTGAGGAGCGAGAAATTCTTGTTGCTCTTGTTCAATAAGTGGCATAAGTCGTTTGAAAAGAATTTAAGAAAATCAAGAGCAGTGCACCATACCTTACATTTTGTTTGCACGTCTTTTCAGAAAAGTTAAAACCTTTCGACTCAAACGAGTAAGATTATTGAGCAAGAGAAACAAGAATTTCTCGCTCCTTAGACGTGCTTTTCTGCCTCGAGTGTAACACAGCAGAATTGTCCACCAGAAGAATGTCACCTTTCTCCCATGGAAACGCCACCTCTTCCTCCAGCATTATCTCCGCGAGTTCTTCGCCAGCTTGATCTTCGAGCAGCGTTCCATCTTCAAACTCAAGCGCTGTTCTTGGCGAATCCTTATGCGTCTTGCGAAACTCCACGAAAAACCCAAGGCTCGAGAAATATGCCATCCTTCCAGCAGTATCCTTTCGGAACAAGGGACCCAGTAGTTTGCTGTCGAGAATCATTCCTCCGTCGGGAAGCCAGGTTAAAACCAATTGCTTTTTCACGGCGCTGGATCATCGAGAGAAGAGTTTTGAGCCCAAAAAACTCGAAGAAAGGAAGTTTCTTACTTGGTCTCGGCGGATTGCTTGTCCTCGGCTGAAAGTCGCGACTTCCAGGCGTTCTCGTCTAGAAACGCGCGGTAAACAACACGGCCTTTGTCGAGAAGTTGCTTTGCTAGATGGGTTTTCTCAAGAACTCGCTTGTAAACGACGTGACCTGGGACAATTGGAGTGGCACCCCCAGTTCCAGGCTCTGGAGCTTTCTCCGCAAAAAATGCGATCTTTGCCGGTGGTTTCTCGAGCTAGAACACGAAGAGGAAACAAAGAAATAGAAAGCGAATCGCTCTAGAAAAAAGAGAAAAGAACGAGTAAAACTTACATAAGCTGCCTCGTTGTGGTAGCCAATGTTATATTGACGTGGTAAGTCATTGGAGGTGAAAACTTTCCCAAACATTTGCTTTCGATTGGTCGATCCACCCATCTCCAAGTAAGGGTACTCCTCCCATCCCAGCGCATCGATAATGGAGTCAAGCTCCTGCGCTGTCCATACCTCGAATCCTCGCAGCAAAATCGCGCCACTCTTGGTTAGCCACTCCTCCAGCCGCAATCGCTGCTCCTCAATTCGCAGCGCGCTGGCGAGCGCTCCCGAGTCCTTGAGAGAACCGTTGGCCGGAACAAGGACCAGCGGGAATGGAGATCCATCCTCGAGCTTCTTCTGGAAAGAGAGGGATATTTGTGAGAAGGAAGCCATGATCGAGCGTTTCTTAAAACGCACGAGATCACAACCACTATACCACTATTGATTCAAAAAATTCATTATCAGAGGGAGTGCATGATTCTGGCCATGGATGGCCACAGATCTGATGAGAAAGGAACGCACCAACAACAGCATACCTAACAATATCTTTAACATTGATTTTAAACACGTGCAGAATAAACTGTTGTCCAAATGTAATTCTTCTAGAAAAGTTATTCTTTCTTCGTGCAAGGAGCTGTAGGGATTGCCGCAGAAAGTTGGATTGTCAGTCAGCATAACATTCAATCTGCATCAGGAAAGATTAAAAACTTTAGCTAATTTGAAATTTAAATATTATATAAGTCATACTACGATATATTGGTTTCCAGAAGTGAGACTGAATGTTACACTAAATAATTTTGTCATTTGTGATTAATATCCTCTTGGTTGTGATGTAACACCACCACCACTACAATTTGGTTCGACTCCTCACCAGTGCCACTGCATCATTCAACTGATTCGTACGACCGTAGAGATTAACCATGCACGAGTAGTGCTAAATGCATGGAGAAACACTGAAGAAATGCTTCCCTTTGTCTATCAGTCCAGCATGGCTGCAAGCGCTCACGATCGATGAAGATGGAACGCTGCTCGAAGATCAAGCTGCGGACGAACTCGTGGAGATAATGCTCACGGAAGAGGTGGCGTTTTCATGGGAGAAAGGTGTGGTGGACAACTCTGCTGTGTTCTCGTCCAGGCACTTCATGATATGAATCCTCCATGTATGGTGAAAAAAGCTTTTAGTTAGACAAAGCTTTCTTGTAGTTAGTAAAAGGAAATTAACTCGTTTCTAACTATACATAAATCACATAAAACTACTAACTAGTGGGACAAAAGGACAGGGCACTTATCCTGGCCATCAAAACCGATATTCGTTGCAGTAGTGTCACCAAACTGTGGAAGAACCATAGTCAATCCACACAAAACCCTGGCATCCATTGTACCCTGACTAATCCCCCACGATAACCAGTGAGCACGGGCGTGGATTGCCGCAGAGAGTGGCACACTCCCAGATCCAATGTCTGCCCTCAGCTGCTCCAAGTGTTCCATTGGAAGACTCGTCTCATTCACCATGACGCTCCGCTTCACAGGCACAACACCGTTCTTTGGGAGCACAAAGCTATGAAAGTCAAACTGCTGGCCTGTAAGATCCACCCCGCGGTAACTAACGCCCACGTCGAATTCTGTGAACTTGACCTTTATCACGTTCTCGAAGTTGCGGTGCTTGGAGTTCAGGCACTGGAACTGGAAGTCGAGCTTGGATAAGAGACCCGACGTGGTGTTCGAAGGGAGCTTGATGTACGAGACCTTCACGTCCTGGAACTCGCACCATGGCTCGTGGAGATGGACGCGCCATGCGAGCCATGAGATCACGAAGACACCCGCTACAAACAATAACACAACGCCCAAGGCGAGACAAGCCCCTATCGTTTCCGCCAGCGGACCCAGCCAGGCCCTCTTCCATCGATTCATCTACCTTGATTAGGGTTTTGGACGAAGTTTAGACTTATATAGAAGTGTTTACAGTCTGAGATAGACAGGCTGACCAATCACTTGCATGGCTATTCCCATACTGTGGGAGAACCATGCTCAAGTCGCAAACAAGCTTGGCCTCCGTCGTACCCTGATTGTAACCATTCGACATCCAGTGAGCACGAACGTGAATCGCTGCCGAGAGTGGGACTTTTCCCGATCCGACATCCGCCTCGAATTCTCCCACTGGAAGATTAGTCGTGTTCACCTGAATGCTCTGCTTCACAACGCCGTTCTTGGGAAGCACAAAAGTGTGGAAGAAGAACTCTTCGCCGGCGAGATGCACTTGGAATTCAGGCACTGGAACTGGAAGTCGAGCTTGGACATCAGTCCCTGACTGGAGTTTGAAGGGAGCCTGATGTACAACACCTTCACGGCACCATGGCTCTTGCAAACTCGTGTACCAACTCACCCCAAGGCAAGCCCACTGCACAACGCCCAAGAAGACACATGTACCATCTATGATAGAAGATTAGCAAAGTTGACGAAGAGCTAAAAATTTTGATATTTAGACTTGTGATGCTCCCCCGCCATTTTGCACGCGATGACGATCGTCGTCCACACGAACTTGTCTGCTTTCCCGCAAGGCAAGCTCCACGCAAGCGCAATGGTGTGATCCAGCTCGTACGCGTGGCACAGGAGATCCACAAGGCAAGTCCAGTGCTCAATCTGTGGAGACACCTCATACTTGGTTTGCATTGTCTAGAGTTTGAGCGTTTGGACGAAGAGCTTCCACCGTTCTCATCCACGAGAACTCCTCCAGAGCTTGCCCAGCCTCGCCGTTCTCTGCGTACCCAAAGATGAGGGCCATCCATGACACCACCAATCACTGCTGCTGAAGATCTCGCAGGAGTTCTCCATGCTTCCACACTTTGCATACATGTCCACCAGCGTGCTCGCGACATAGCTCTTTGACTCGTGGCCAAGTTCCACAGCCTTGATGTGAATTGGCTTCCCGATCTTCACTGATAATTAAGTCTCTAAGATATCATTGTCTATAACTTTGATAATATCCATCTATTGATCTTTGACTTTGGGCCAGTATAGGCAGA